AGGTATACAGGGTGTCCCAGAACTCGCGCCACAGAGAAAAAGGGGGCGTGCCGATAGCAATGGAGATGCGAAATTTAAAAATAAAAAATTTCTAGGTAATAGTGTAATCGAATGAGAGCAAAAAAGCGGCAGCCAATACCGAGAGCTCTCGCCTAGGTTAAACGTAAGAGCTTTAAAAATTGCTAGGAGACGATATCGTTATTTTAAAACATTGGCGTTCTGAAGTATAAGTCATAGATTAATAACCTCATTTTTTAAAGCTTTTCACAACTTAGTAAATACAGTTGGCCAAAAGATTTTTAAATGTTTTTAATACAACAAGTATCCTAGCAATTTAAAGAATTCCCTATGGCCATCTATTGGGATTGGCTATCGTTTTTTATTCTTATCTCGCTTATCCTTTGCGTTAGACAATTTTAGTTTTCAAATATGTGTTTCACGTTACTTTCGGCCCGTTCCGGTTTTCTATGTGGCGCGAGTTCTGGGACACCCTGTATAAAACAATCAGTGGCGGATTTACAAATTTTCAAGGTATAGGCTGAATAGTTTTTGCCGCCCTTGCCTCAATAATTGTCATATCATACATTATTTTTACAATGCAACAATTTCGTTAAAATTTTTTTTTTACTTAAGACTATCTCGCTATTACTGTTCAAGATTTTTTTTGAATTCCAATCGAATTTTCTGAAGCTACTAGTGCATGTGAAACACATAATAGTCAATACATAAAATTGAAATCGGTAAAATTATTCACTAAATTATTCATTATATTCAAATAAAAATCGAAAAATTATATACCAACCATCCAGTTCGTAGCCTCTAACCAGTAGTAAGACTGGCATGTATGGGTTGTTAGTGGAAAGAGGGGCATATTTTTTACAATTTCGCTCTTTTCACTCATAAGAAGTGAGGGGCGGCGAACTAGCTGTTTTACTCTAGAATATGGAAGTTTGCTACTCTCGGAATGTGCAATGACAAGTGAGAGAGAAAAGTCATCGACAAAATTTGTTGCAGACCGTCATAGAAAAATCTTTTTGATTTCTATGAGGTAAAAAAAAATCGTTCCCCAAATTTGCCGCCCCCAAAATCTGCCGCCCTAGGCTCGAGCCTACTCAGCCTGCTGGTAAATCCGCCACTGAAAACAATTGTCCCTTCTAAAAAATTCAATTTATTTTAGTTTATAGCACTGTTGCCAACCTTTCTCCACCACTTCTGTTTATAGAAAATTTCCACTGTTAAAAAAATCCCTTTCGTAAACAGAATATATTCTGTTTAACCATTGATTTACTCAACGGTTTAACTATATATAGTTTTTAGCATGATACTACATTGTAGTATACTACATATATGTAGTATTAAGTAGTATATTTTATGAAGTATCATAGTTTTTATTGCAAATAATTTGCACCGCAAATAATAAAAAAATACAGGAACACATTTTTAAAAATTAAAAAAAGTATAATTTTTTGCGAAACATAACTTTTAAAAGTAAAATTTTTAACTATTGCCTTCTAAAAACAATTACCTACACGTAGGAAGATAATAAATACAAATAAAAAAGGAAGTATATGGCATTTTAAATTAATAATTTAATTTATTACTTTTATTATTAAATATTTAAATAAATAATTTACAGCACGCTTATCCGGCTTCCTTCATATTTTATAAGCATAATTTGTTTATACGTGAATATGACGAATTATCGAACTCCCCTACACCCTAAAAATATTTTTTTCTACTCCCACCTTTAAAACGCCCTTTATCTTACATGTTTCCATGACACTAAGTGACCTTTTAAATAAACATTGACAAGTTGTGGCTTTATGGCGCTTTAGTCACGGGCCGAAGTTAGCAACAGGGTTTTAGTCACGGGTTAGTTTTAAGTTAGTTGACAAGTATCAAATGTCATACAATCGTTAAAATAAAGTGCCTTTCTTGTAAAATAATACTAAATGTGAAAAATATTTTATTATCTCAATACAAAAATACAAAAGTATTAAATAGTTTCTCAACGCCAATATTTGAAAAGTTTATTTGAACATTGTACTGACCTTTTAATTTCACCGGCAGTAAACTATAACTTAAATTCGGGCACGGACTCCACTGTGCTCATAAAACATTTTCTTTACTTTCACTGTGAAAAACTGTCATTTTTCAAGAAATACATTTCGATTTATAACCTTTTTAATCGTGTTTATAAAGTATATAAAAATTTGACATTTGACGGTGACACACAGATTCCCCTATTGTTTATAAACTTTTCTATACACTCATTAATTTAAGCACTCGCTCGCAAGCTCGCTCGTGCCTAAATTAAATTCGTGTATAAAATGGCGTTTATCAAACTTGATACATAATATACTATTATCTACTCCTATTGTATAATATTGGATTTAGCCCTAAAACGACAATAATGAACTCGTTATTTACGTTGTGATTGGCCGATTTCATTATTCACTGTGATTTTAACCAATCGGTTTTAAATTGGGAGAAGGCGACTATAATAACAGTTAAAATTGAGGTTAACCATTTGATAGGTGTCAGATTTTATTTATTTATTTTTGAAAATCATTTAATTATCTACTTATTGGAGTAGATAAAGTATAGTTTTACACTCGAAATTATGCGCATTATTTACTCCGATGATTTAAGTCCCTCGTCTGACGACTCGAGAATAATAGCCTGCATTATATCTCGTATAATAATATACTATTTCCGATTTTTTTTGCAATGTTCTGACTAAAATGGTTAAATAACCATTTTTTTTATTTACTTTGAAACGTGACGTTTTAATAAACCCCTCCCCTCTCGGTCGTGACGGTCCTCCAGCTATCCACCAGATTTATGGACGCCCCCTAATAATGTTTACCATAAAGTAAAATTAATAAATGTAACTTATATATAGAGTTAAAACTTAATTGATTAAAATAGCTATGAAACATCTTAAAATTGTATGCCCTTTATATATAAAAATATATTTTTAGTGTTAGTATAAAATAAATACATATATGACTTGAACAAAATAAATATCTCTAAAAAACCATATAATTATATAAAACCTGATAATTGGAAGATTATATAACTTTTTTCCATAATTTTTGTAAAAAAAAAATTATAATGACCTATAAGTAAAAAATACTCTCTTTAAAATACTTCCAAATTGTAAAACTGTATGGTTATTACAAGAAGTTAAAAATTCACATTAAAAACCTATTACATTACTTTCAAGTAATATAATGGACAAGATTTTTTACTGTAATGGTAGTTTTTAAGGTTAATTAAACAACATATTTTAATAAACACATTTGCGAAAAAAAAGTTTTTTAGTGTGCCCCCAGCCTCCTGCCCCCTAAAAATTAAGATAATTCAAATTAAAGTGGTACAATATTTAATTCACTGCAGTTTTATTAACAAATTTCCAAATGTATTAAAAAAATTCAAGTATTACCCACGGTGTGCCTGAACGAAGTTTAAGTCACATAAAAATGCCGCCAAAAACTGATTGCACCTTCGGAGACTTAAAAATGATATTCACCAAAATCCTAGCTGCTCCTCTTTTCGAAATTTTTTGAAAATTCATGATTTTTTTTTCAAAAAATTTCGAAATGAGGAGCAGCTAGGATTTTGATAAATATCATTTTAAAGTTACCAAAGGGTCCCGAACAAGAAACTGCAATCAATAAAAATCGGTGTACCTACAAATGTGTACTCTGGCAAAGGTAGACTTTGCGATAAACAAAAATAAAAAAATTTTTTTTTAACAAATTAAAAAAAAAGTTAGAATTTTGGTAAATATCGTTTTTAAATCTCCAAAGAGTGCCGATCAAAAAACTTCAACCAGTTTTTCGTTCAAAATTGAAAACTACTAAAAAGCCTAAATTAAACAACATTTTAAATATTCTCTAAGCGTTATTTTATTTAATTTTATTAAAAATCTATTTTTTTATAAAAGGTTAATAATAAAGGTTAAGAATACCATTTTGTAACCTGATAAACGTAGAAATATCTAAAAAAAATGGGGATAAATATTTTTTGCGTGTTATGCCAAAATCATGAATTTACGCTTTTGCTTTATTAAAAATAAGCGATTTTTGGATCACCCTGTATATATCAAATGATGTGAACAGTATTAAAAAGTATTCTCTAAGTCTCCCCAATAATATACTCTAATTTTATAAAAATCGGTGTTCAAATGTGTACTCTGTCAAAGGTAGACTTTGAAATAATCAAAAATTAAAAAAAAAACCCATGGATTTTCAAAAAATGTCGAAAAGAGGAGCAGCTAGGATTTTGGTAAATATCATTTTTAAGTCACCAAAGGGTCCCGAACAAGAAACTGCAATCAGTTTTTGGCGGCATTTTTATGTGACTTAAACTTCGCTCAGGCACACCATACCATTTTAAATTTTTATTAATTCTATTTCTAAATTAAAAAAAAAATAGAAATGGTATAAAATCTGTAATACTTGGACTTTTTAAATAAATTTTGAAATTTTTTGGTAAACTGTAGTGAATTATAAATTGCACAACTTTAATTTGAATTATCTTAATTTGGGGGCACACTAAAAAACTTTTTTTCGCAAACTTCAATTTAAATTCTGCTTGCGCAGAACTTGTCTATATAGACATTATAATGTCATTATAAACTCATATAACTTTGATGTGGGTCCCATGTCTAATAACTGAGATATGGGTGTGCCCAAAATCCACCAGCCGCCACTGGAAACGACTTTAGGAATGTTAATTAAACGTTATTTTTTAATTTTTTAAAAATTAATTAATAATTAGCACTACTCGACAAAGAAGTATAGTGTTTACCGTGCAATCGCAATTACTTCCTCAATGAATTCCTTCACTCGCCTATCGGCTCGCTCGGAAACTTTCATCAACGGGAGTAATTGCTATGATTCCAAGCTCGGTAAACAATATACAATTTATTTTAAAAATGTAATTCGTATCATTTGACCTTTAATAGTTATTGTTTTTTATTTATTTTTCAGGATTCGTCGTGTAGCCCGAAAGCGTGCAGCAGGGAGACGCAAACCGAAAAACCGGTGTGCGGCTCTGACGGTCTCACGTATCCGAACCGATGTCTGTTTGAACGAGCGCGCTGTCTCAACCGAAACATGACGCTGACGAAAAGATCGGGTTGCCGGACTCAGAGACCGTGCAACGAATGGGAGACGATCGCGAGCAGCGCCAACTACAGCTTCAAAGCGAAATGCAAGACCGACGGAGCGTACGAGTCTGCGCAGTGCATCCGCGAGATCGGTTTTTGTTGGTGTGTCACGCCAGAGGGCGTGCCCTTACCGTACACGTCGATGAGGAGGAAACCTGAGGCGAAGCCGAGGTGCGGGAGGAAGAAATCTACAAGGAGGAGGTCTCCCAGAAGGAATAACAGAAGTAATTATAATGATACTTAATGATTTATCTGACAATACAGTTTACTCAAGTGGTTGGACAAAATATTTTCCTTTGGCGTTTTGATTTTTTAACACAAACCGTCAAAATATATCTGTCACCCATTTGCATTGTTATCAAAGCATCTCACACACAGCGTTGACAAGTTTTTAAACTAAATTAACTATAAATATAATTATAAAAATATTCACATATTTCTACACATACTCGTATACTGCTTATTCGCTATATTTTGTATATATGACCTTGTTTACTTTTTTGAGGGGAAATTTGTCGATATGCCGTATCATTTTACCTTATGCGCATAGTCAGATCGTAAGTGGAGGATTTAAAATATATGATACCATAGACATATTAATACGTCCACTTATGATACGAATTGTCAACTAAATAAAATTTAGGTTATATCAAATTTTTCATCATTTGCTTACATCGCCTAGGTCAATCTTACATAAATTTCTTTGGTTTGACTTTATAAAAAGCAAAAAGTGGCATAATATGCATATTATGTAAAAGCCACTAAAGAATCTCGTAAACACAATGAAAAAAAACAATACCAAAACCCCACGAAAAGGAAACAGTAGAAAGTTAGAAATGATTTGTATTTGTGGGTATTGTATGTGGGTATATTACACAGTGCGACAAAATTTGATTTTTTCCCCCCCATAAAAAAATTTCAACAGATTTTGAAAAAAGTTAAAAAAGTGATACCCGTGTCTTGGCGTTTTTTCAGATCACGTAATGTTTTTTTAGTGCGATCCAATAAAATTATGGTATCCACTGTATTCGGCACGTAATATAGCAGCTTCGATAACAGTTGAACTGTATAGTTAAAAAAAATGATTTATTGAATAAATGGACAACCATTAAAGCTACATTTTAAAATTATTCAAATTTTATACAGTGTGTTGCACATTCACGAAATATATCAAGTGGTGTTTTTTAGGTTGTGATACCACTATAGATTCTAAAGCAATGTATAATCGTCAAACTAGATTTTTTTCCAACAAAAATTGAATATAAGATAAATACAAATTTGTCGTTTAATAAAAACAATCAAAAATTTAAAATAGAAATTATTTTCTTATTTTTTATTAAAAAAAAACTAAAATTATTATTTTTTAAGTATAATTTTTGTAAGTAAAAACATACAATATTTAAAAAAAAAATTATAACAAAATAAAGATTTGTATAAAAAATTTAAATTACGTGATTTTGTGAAACGGTGAGAAACGGTTAGGTACGTTTATATACAGTGTGTCCATGGATGGACTTAAATATACTTGTTAAAAATTTTAACTTAAAATATTTATTTTCAATTTTTCAAAAGAAAAGTCGCTCCTCATAATTTCTTCTGCTTGTTATATAAATACCATTCACGATGAGAAACTTCTATTTTGTTATAAAGGGAGCCCAAAAATATACAATTGTAGATTTTGCAATAATAAAAATTGTTAAATTTCTTGATAAAGGTCTTATATGAAAAGCTTGTAAGGAGAAACCAAAAAGCCAAATAAAATTTTTCATTTGAGTTGTTACTAAGACATTTGTTATTAAAAATAAAATCAATTAAGGTCCTAACTTGAGAGGTCCTATTATTTTGTAGAAATTGATTGCTATTTCATTTTGTGATTATGAATCAAGGTTGTTGCTTTTAACTGACATGTCTACAATGTCTACAATTATTTGTTAAACTTTGAAAACTAATATCTTAAATTTTCAATATTAAATATTAGGGTGGGTTGAAAACAAAATGTTTGTTATTTTTTCATAGCATGGGGGTAGAATTTGTACCTTATAAAAAAAGAAAATTTTCAAAAAAAAAATTTTTACTCAACATCTTAAGGTGACCCACTCGTTTTTTAAATAAATATTTAATCAAATGGGGTAGTTCCAACTGGAAATTCTTTTTTTGGTCTAAAATCGTGGAAAACATGTAAAAATTGTAGAATGTGATTTTTTTCACTCAACTTTCATTCTAATACAAAAGAAAGTGCATTTCATTTTTTAATTTTTTACTTAAATTACAAAAACAATGGGAAAAAAACTTTTGACTTCCAATTGGCTTTTAAGGGGACACCCTACAGATTCTAGAACTAAAAAAAGAATTTTCCGTTGGAACTACCCTATTTGTTTTAATATTATTTAAAAAAAAAGAGTGGGCCACCTCAAGATGTAGAGTAAATAATTTTTTTTTTGAAAAATTTTCTTTTTTTATAAGGTACATTTTGTATTCAACCCACCCTATTAAATATCTTAGTATCAAAAACTCATATGAAAAAACTTCATTTGACTTTTTGATTTCTCCTTACCAGCTCTTTATAGCGCTTCAAAAAAATATTTAAAAATTTTTAATTTTGAAAATCAGTATTTTTGCTCACCCTGTACAACAAAATGGATGTTTCTCAACGCGAATATAACAAGCAAAAGGAATTATGAAAAATTACTTTTCGTCGAAAAATTGAAAATAAATGTTTTTACAGGTATAGTTGAGTCCATCCGTGGACACATTAGAGATGTAAAAAACGGTTTTTTTTCAGATGTGAAAAAAAAACATGAAAAAAACGTACAAAAAAAACGGTTTTTTTTTGTTTTTTTTTTAAGTGAAATTTTGAGTAAAATGTATATTAATAATAAAGTAAAATGTAGAATATATTAAATTTTTCACTATTGAAAATTTTGACCGAGTCTAAAAAATCTGATTTCTTATTATTTGACAGTTTCCACATTAGAAACCAGTAGCAATGTAAAACTTCTACACCAATACAAAAAATTAAAGGATAAAAAAAATTGTTTTGTGATTCTTCGGATAGCTGTATCTTTGTTAAAAATGGTCGTATTGGAGCCGTAAAAAAAGCAATTTGAAGCTTGAAGTTTCTAATTTTGAGATTTTTAGATGAAAAATGTGCAACGCTCAATCCTAACAAATACCGTAATAAAAAAATCGATTTTTTTGGCTTTCTTGTCCACGGAATGTTTTAACTTAACCACCAATGAATAAATGTTCTACAAGAATTTGCTATTGTTTTTTTGAAAAAAAAAATTCCATACTCTACATGAATTTGAAAAATCATGAAAAAGTGCTTTTGGAAGGAAGCTTTTTGAAAAATCAAGCGCTGAATCAAAAATATTATATGTAGTTACTTTTTTTAGGACCAAATCAAAACAAGCGCGGCCCTTATTGGTCAATGCGTGCATAGCGCGAGACTGTATTTACATTTACTAATTGTCATTTAGTGGCTAATTTTAGTCCATGAAACCTAAAAAATTAGGCAAATGGGACTAATTTTGAAAAAAAAAACCTAAAATGTGAAAAAAACCATTTAAAAAAAACAATGAAAAAAAAACAAAAAAAAACGGACCGTTTTTTTTTCAAGTGGCATCTCTAGGACACACTAACAAAATTTGTTAAAATGTTAAAATCGTGTTATAGAATAATACGTGGTATATTATAGAAAACTTATTTCTTTTCTTCAATCTAGGTAGGCCGTGCAAGCAGAGGGATAAAGCGATTTTCAACAACAACTTGATGAACAATTTTCAAACCGAGTTCCACAGATACACAGGCCAAAGGACGCTGAACGATTCGCACGTTTTAGAATGGAAATTTAATTCGCTGGACAACAATAACGACCACTTCTTGGACAAGTTGGAATACAGGGACTTGAAAAGGCTGGCGAAAAAAGCCGTGAAACCGAAAAGGTGCGCCAAAAGTTTTACGCGCTCGTGCGACCTGGATGGTGACTTCAGAATCAGCTGGCCGGAGTGGGCGGAATGTTTGACTAGAGACGGGTTGGACGGTAAGTATTTTTTTTATTCATGTCGTTTAATTGCTAGTGAAGTACTTTTCCTAACACACCTCTAATCCTTGATGTCGTATTTGATGTGCCCTAATAGAGAAACTGAGCTACCAAATTTGATGATTGTAGATGATAGAAAAATCAATGTGCTGTAGGCAGATGATGATTGTTGTGACAAATTGTAAAAGGATGTACACGCCAGTTTTGAATTATTGATGTGATTTATCATTTGTTATTAAATAATTGTAAGCACGCTTATCCTGCTTCCTAAATATTATTGTAATTTATTTGACAATTTTTATTAAAAATTAACTTGATCATAAGACAGTCAAATTTCCTTTTTCAATAAATAAAAATATAATACATACTTACAACAAAAAATAGGACAATAAATAATTTATTAAATTAATATTTTTTTTTAAATGTTAATGAATTAGAATTTCAATTTTCGAGATACAAGAAACAATCTTGTTTTAATGTTAATTACATATTTTTGGGTTGTAAAATCATTCTTCAGAAGAAATGTGTCGCATACGTTTTATTAAATAAAATACAATGTTCATACGAAATTTTTTTATACTATTGTCATATATACATTAGACTGGGCCAAAAAAAATAGACTATTTTTTTTTGTAAAGTATATCGAAAATATTGTTTGGGGTGACAAAAAAAATTATGGTGAAAGTTTGTCCATAATATTAATATTAAGAGGTCTATCATCGCAATTTTAGATTTTTTTGAAGAAAATAAAAATTGGTATAGTTTTACAATTTGATCTTTTAACTTTAAATAATAACATCATCTTGTTTTTTTATTGGAAATTGTTATTTAGTTATATAATACACATTTATAAAGAAAAAAAAAATCAAATTATCACCCATAAAAAAATAAATCTACAGAGGAAAAAACAAGAATTTCGTTTTGATTTCAACTTTAACTTTAAATAACTTTTGATTGAGTGAATTAAGCCATGTTAAGAGGATTTTTTTGTAAAGCATTTGATTTCCCATAAGAATATTCATCGGTTTTTTCTGGGTACTGATTTTTACATGAATTACAAAATTCCAAAGATTAAAATGTAAAACAAACAAGACAAAAACTTTCACAATAATTTTTTTTGTCACCCCAAACCAAATTTTGGATTTACTTTTCAAAAAAAAATAGTTGATTTTTTTGGCCCAGTCTAATATATATATTATTGACATTATTTGGATTTTTCGTACATAATGGTTACCATTATAACCACCCCGCCCAGCAAGGGGAATAATAAACTCATTATTTACTTTGTTAAGCATCAGTAATTGGCCGATTTTTATATCCACTGTGATTTAAATCAATCAGGTTTTAAATTTGAAAAAAGTGGGGTTGGTTAGATTATGATTAAGTAACTGAAAACCTGTCAAAACTAAAAATCGTTATTACTTCGTTATTCCTGGAAATTTAAAAAAAGTAAGTTTTACATGTAAACATATACATATATCTACATTTTCATCTAATTAGCGATTTTTTTCGCCTACTGGATTTTGAGATACCACCACCATCTTTTGTTTATCCTATGGCTGCCTTATTTAAATTGTACATAAGATAGACAAAAAATCAAGAAATCCAACGATGTATTAAACTACATAAGTTATGGCGGCCATTATAAAAACAAAAGATGGTGAGGGTACCTCTCGAAACATAATAGTAAAGAAATTGGATAAAAATGTAGATTAATGTGTATGTTTACATGTAAAAATTACTTTGTTTCAAAGTTATAACCATTTTGGTTGTGAAAGCTTATTAGTTTTTTTTATATTTTGAGAACCTATGTATTTTTTTTAATTTTTAAATTTCATGTTAATAGGTTTGTAATTACGCAACTTATCTGTTATTTACCTTGAAGTTCTTCAAATGAAAAAATACCTTAGAAAAAGCATAGGATTACACTCGAGATAATGCGAATTATTCACTCGGATGATTTACATCTCTCGTCTGGCGGCTCGAGACGAAAACCTTATCCTCGTGTATAAAACATTGTATTATCTCTTGTATAATATTACTATTCTTATTTTTATTTGTAAACTATTAATAAACCAGAAACTCTAGAGAAGTTTATAAAACGAAATGCATACTATACTTTTTCTACAACACAAAAATATATTTTTCCCAAAAAGGTCCCTTTATTTTGATGACAAAACAGATTGATTACCTAAGTGTCAACTAACTTAAAAGCTGGTTTTAACCTCACTTTTTCTGAATTTTATTATAAATTTAACTAACTTCAGCCCGTGACTAAAAAGCCCGAAACACGTTGTTGCCAAGTTCATACCGTGACCAAAACGCCCACAGCTTGCCGATGTGCTTTAAACATGGAAGTAGAATAATTCATTCTGTAACAGTTTAAGGAATATATGTAATTCCACATTAAAAAGTGATGTTGAAACGTTTATATTCCGTAATAGGAGTAGAAAAAAAATATGCGTAGGTTTTATAATATTTACTTTTAAAACTTATAACTCAATTTAAAATTACCCAAACCATCTATCAAAGGCTAGACGTTCATTCGTCTTTAAATAAGTTTGATCTTCACTTAATGATTATGTAGCGTAAGAAATATATAATTACGCATTTAACAGCACTTTCAACGTTACATGGGCAATTAATCTCACTTAACATAGAAAAACTACATTTGCGTCAGCATACTTCTCCTTAATCAAAATCCAATTTGGTAGTTCAGTTATGCAACCTAACCTATTAATAAAAAAAAAACAAAACGAGAATCCCCCTCCATCACAGCCCCCTCGTAAGTCTAGCAATTAGGACTAGCGTACGCGTACTTTGTTTTGAACTTAAATAGTTCCTTTGCGTGTGTTCTTGTCGCTGAACGCAGATGGCAGGGGCGGCGGTGGAGAGCAGAACGCCTCCTCTGATCCGGCAGACGGGGACCAAGAAGAAGAGGAATACGAGCTGCCCTTTGGGGCGCCCAGGTCACCACCCGATGGCAGTGAGTACCAAATTAATATCTTTTAATTTTAAGGTTCCAATCGATATGTACTTTGAAGCGTAAGTAAGTTTCACATGCTTTTTCTAGATATCTATGTCATATTTGATGGCAAAAGTTATTATTAACGGGACACCATGCTCTTTGCATTTATGCAATACAACGTTTTTGGTAATTTCACAAATTAAGAAAAACAAATAAGTGTTTAAAAAATATACCTACCCAACAAAGGTTCTATAATGGCCCTTTACAAACGTGCCTTTAATGAACTAAAGGCCCTATAAAGCCTAATTCTAATGGTTCTGATAGAGCAGATTAAAGGTACAAATGTGGCAAGCTAAAATTTTTAAAATGGGGTGTTAAAGATTCTATTGTGGTTATTTAAATAATTTTTTATGGATAAGTAAAGTATCTATTATGGTAGATTAAATGTGTTAGGTATAACTACATATACCGGGTGTATCTGAGAATAGGCGCACCCCTGTAACTTTTTTATTTATAAAAACAGACACATGAAATTTTGCATGGTTAATTAGGATATAAAATGCCACTTATAAGAGTACAAAATGAATTTTTTGAACTTCCGGTTTCGCCGGAAATGATACCAACTTTCGATTTTTAAATGGAATGCCCTATATATTTTTACATATTTGGAATCCTGAGGAAATTCTGAGTCAGACAGCATCCTCAAATTGACCTTTTGACGTTTCGTCATCAGAAAATGTATCATCATAAAGATCAATCTAGAGTGCTTTGAACTATCTTCTTTACTTCTAATGGATTCACACAATGCCTAAAAAATAGAGCTTGCCTTAGAAAGTTGTTATTAAGCTATTCCCAGCAGTCTAAACTTGTCAAAATTCGTTTTTCTCAAATAGTTCAAAGCACTCTAGATTGATCTTTATGATGATGCCTCTTCTGATGACGAAACATCGAAAGGTCAATTTGAGGATGCTGTCCGACTCAGAATTTTCTCAGGATTCTAAATATGTAAAAATATATAGGGTTATCCATTTAAAAATCGAAAGTTGATATCATTTCCGGCAAAACCGGAAGTTCAAAAAATTCATGTTGTACTCTAATAAGTGGCATTTTATATTCTAATTAACCATGCTAAATTTCATGTGTCTATCTTTATAAATAAAAAAGTTACATGGGTGCGCCTATTCTCATATACACTCGGTATAGTACATACAGTGTACAAAACAAAAACTAAGATAGCCAGTAACAACTTTAAACAAACATATCAAATGTATCAATTTGTTTATAACGTAGTAAAATAAACTTGTCTGAAATAGTTATTAATACTTAACTTTTGATGAAATTAAGTTTGTACCCATTCTGAAGTATGCCGCGTTCAGTGGCGTACTTATTTTTCTCTCTAAACCTCCCAAATGTGTTTTATTTTTCGTTATAATTATAAAAAAAACTTGTCTAAAATAGTTATTAATTGTTCGTTTTTAATGAAATTTGGTTTGTACCCATTTTGAAGCATGCCGTATTCAGTGGCGTACTTATTTTTTTCGAAAAAACGACCCTAATATTTTTTCCGAATTTAAACATAGAAAAAATGTTATAGTCAAGTGACACTGAAAATATTTTTTATATCTTAGATAGAGTTTTTTTTTCTATCTTTTGAGCCTTTGTTCATTAAAATCAAGTAACAAATAAACAAAGTTACGGGGGTTTCCATCTTAAATGGGCCACAATCAATCTACTATTTTTTTTTGTAAAGTATATCGAAAAAAAAAATTATGGTGAAAGTTTGAGTCCATAATATTAATATTAAGAGGTCTATCATCGCAATTTTTGATTTTTTTTCCTGAGCGAGTTTTTGTCTCATAACTCCCAAATCATTGAGTTTAACAAAATTGACTTAAGAATATTTTTTGAAGAAAATTGAATGCTCTACAAAAAAGGTTTGATTGGAATTTCCCGTCAGATGAACCGTTTTCTTACAATCATGCCTTAAAAATTGGTATAGTTTTACAATTTGATCTTTTAACTTTGGAATTTTGTAATTCATGTAAAAATCAGTACTCTGAAAAAAAACCGATAAATATTCTTATGGGAAATCAAATGCTCTACAAAAAAAGTCTTTTATCTTTTTGGCTAAATTCACTCCATCAAAAGTTATTCAAGGTTAAATTTGAAGTCAAAACGAAATTTTAACCTTGAATAACTTTTGATCGAGTGAATTTAGCCAAAAATGTTGAGAGGCTTTTTTTGTAAAGCATTTGATTTCCCATAAGAATATTTATCGTTTTTTTTATGGGTACTGATTTTTACATGAATTACAAAATTCCAATTTAAAAGATCAAAATGTAAAACTATACCAATTTTTAAGGCATGATTTTAAGGAAACGGTTCATCTGACGGAAAATTTCACTTTAACCTTTTTTGTAGAGCATTTAATTTTCTTAAAAAAAAATTTTGAGTCAATTTTGTTAAACTCAATGGGTTTGGGAGTTCTGAGACAAAAACTTGCTGAGGAAAACAAAATTAAAATTGCGATGATAGACCTCTTAATATTAATATTATGGATTCAAACTTTCACAATAATTTTTTTTTGTCACCCCAAACCATATTTTCGATATATTTTTCAAAAAAAAAATTGTTGATTTTTTTGGCCCAGTCTAATGTAGGTATAGGTATATATTTATTAGATAAGGTTCAGAAATTGTTATCCCTGCCGTCACAATACAATTTCTGACAGTCGGGATTAAAATTTCCGATTAACGTGGAATATCCGACCCAATAATTATAAACAAACCCCATTTAATCCACCATTACATTAATTAATATATTATCGTGAAATATAAACTTAAACATTCATAAATTTACAAGAAAAAATACAAAAGCAATGTGTTGTAATAAAGACCTGTATAAGTAAAATATACAAATTTTATTTTTGAAAACTGTAGAATAATAAATGAAATCCATAATTTTAAAATAAATAAAAAAATCCTTAAACTAAATAGAAAGTATTTGAAATTAAAATATATATTTATAAATAAATTCATTTAATTTTTTTGGTAGATTGTTTTCTACAACAAAGAAAACAAGGTTTTTTTGCCATTATTAATTTCTTTTATTTGTAATTGTCCCAATTTTGACCTTATCAATGAACTAAATTCTTTGGCGATATTTTGTCTGCAATAAGACTTCTAAAATTTGTAAAATTAAAAATGCACTTACACTCCTTTAAATTTAAGAACCATTTGGTAATATATACACTGGGCGTCATTTTTAAAATATGGCGTTAACCAAAGGATAATTAAAGATTCATATAAGTTTTATATGCAGAAAACATTTGATCCCATTAACTTGATATTGAAAATTGCCGTATAAATGGGCCTTTTATGGTAAAATATACAAATATTAGCCTGAAAAGGGCCATTGGATGACCTTATTATGACAGCCTTATATCAAAATTAATATTTTTATTACATTTCTGTAAAGGCTCAGTATAAGAAAATCTTTGGCTAAAAATGCCATTATTAAGCCATGAAACTATGTAATGGGCCATTATAAAATCAGAGTGTTTGCTTAAAATTGTGATAATTATGTTATTGTCTATTCCTTTAACTAATACAAAATTGTGTAGTTCTTCTACCTGGACTATCAAACCCTGACAGAAGTCTTGAAGATGAGTCTCCAGAAATTCGAGATGATGACCCCACTGACTGCATATCGGACAGAACAGCCGCTCTTCATGAAGAAGACCCCCTCTACGTCCCAGAGTGTACGCCTGACGGAAGATACCAAAAGGTAAATTTTTTTTTATTAAATTTTTGATATACATCATTTTTTCTTGCAGGTTCAATGTTACAAAATAGCGGGTTACTGCTGGTGTGTTCACGAAGACACGGGCAAAAACATCCCCGGCACTTCCGTGAAAAACGGAACGCCAACCTGCGATAACTTGACCCCGATCAGCCGACCAATGAAGGGCTGTCCCGAAGAAAAGAAGAACGTTTTCCTCAGAGACCTCAGTCAGTATCTTCAAACGCAGATCCCGAACAACACGAGCACCTTCAACGGCTTGGATTATATTGCTTCCAAGGAAGAAAGGGCCGCCAAATGGAGTTTCGTGGTGTTTGACAAAAACAAGAATAAGATGCTGGACAAGATCGAATGGAAAGCTTTCAAGGACAAAGTAGGGGGGGTGAAGGGGCTGAAGAAGTGCGGGAAAAAGTTGCCCAGGTATTGTGATATTAATAAAGACAGGAGCATCAGTCTGACTGAATGGCTGGAGTGCCTTAACGTACAACAAGGTAAATAATTGTCCATGATTATATATGATTCAGTAATTAACGTTACGTTTTCTATTTTAAAATGTTGTTTGTTTTTAGGTTCTGCAGCTGGTGGTACCTTGACAAACACTGCAAAAGGAAAGAAAACCCTAAACATGCTTATGGAAGATTAGAGTGTTTAATTTGTGATTTTGTGCGGTGCGTACAGAATAGACTGTAATTTTAACACCAATCAAAAATTCTTGAACTGGTCTCTCAGTGCCTTATACGACTATATGTGATTGTAGTTTAGTGTACAGCTTTTACCTTAAAGATGATTCTTAGTAATTTTCCTATTTAGGTAGAAAACTCAGTTTTTTTGCTTGGAATTATCTTTAAATTGCGTTATGCTTATTTATTAAATATAGGTACTAACATTTAATTTTTTACTGCTACAGTATTACAAATAAATGCTTTTTTATTTTAAGTCCTGACCTGTGCTTTAAATTTATTTTGTCATGGTCTTTGTGTAATACCAGTACCAGTATGGAATTCGATGTGTTAAATGTTAAATTTAAAATCCAATCAAACATTATTGTTGATATATAAAAAATAATTAAATGCAGATTTTGTTATTTTTTGTTTTATTTAGGTGTCCTATGAAGTATTAAAAAAAGTGCTATTACTTAGACCTTACTTATAAGTAAAATATTTTTATAGATCAGACTAAATATTTATATAATTATTATTGGTAGAACATTTTTCCTTTTGACGTCAACCAAAGGATTTATTGGATTTTTTATAGGCTGGTGAAACGATAAAGTAATAATTAACGATATATAAAATAAACAATTTATTATTTTAATAATAGTAATATTATTTTATAAACATTAACTCAATTCAAAATTCTTTTTTTAACATCAAAAACTAAAAATAAATATTACAAATTTTTAAATCTTAAACTTCTTCGTCGGAATCAAACTCAGAAATTTGTCCATTATCACCTGATTCATCGTGAATCGTTAATAATGATAAATTTGTCGTTTCCGAACCGGATGGCGACCTACTTTTTCCTTTCTGGAGGTCTTTTTTCTGCGATTTTGCTACTTTTTCGATTTGTACTTTGAGTTGCTTTGGTACTAAAAAAATTATTTTTTTGACCAATTATGTACTTGCAATTATACAAACTAAATCGTAAATCATTTCCCGCATACGACACCATGTGGGCGATAAAATAAATTTGACTTACCTAATTTGGGTGGTCTTTTGGGTTTAGCCTTTTTGACAACGGTAGTAACGGTTCTATTTTTCATTGATAGGCGATTATAAAAGTAGACGACGCTTTCTTTATTATGGAACTTGTTGTTTTTTGCTCTAGTCTGAATATACTTCTTCCTGATAAAGAAATATTATTAAGTTGACCTTAACAATAAAGTAGATTTTTAGTACATAAAATCATTATTGTCTATTGATAATTATGTCAATAAGTCATAAATATAATGATTATGAGGCTTGCCTAAAAAATATTGTGTGCACCACTGCCAAAAAGTGTTATTTTTTCCTCGATTTCTTTAAATCAGGCTCGTCTAAAAAAAAGTCACTTTTTGGCCATGCAAAAACTATTATTAAAAAATGCTACAGTTGAACCTAAAACTGAATTCAAGGCCCGATCGGAAACTATTCTTCTAGTCTAGTCTTTGAAAATACACAGGGTGTCTCACGTTACTCTAATTTATTCCGATTGGAATTCCGAAAAATATAACTGCTCTCGCGAGTAGAGAAAAATTAATTTTCTTAGAATTTTTTAATGAATTGTAGAACACCCCGTATATTTAGAAATAAAGATTACAAATATTATATTTGTAATATATAGACAAATTTAATTTACTCACGCTATATCCTTTTCATCTTGGGTTAGGCCTTCCAAAAAATGAGTCAAGGTGTATAAAAATAATAGATTTTTCTCATCACTTAGTGCAATTTGAATACCCTCTAATACAAATTCTAATTCGAATTTTACGCTTTTAACTAATGAAAACTGCTTGGCCAAAGACTAAAAAATAAATTAAATCAGACCATAGGAAATGTGCCAAATTGCCACCAGAAAATGGCGACGCAGCAGTGGCGTGCAAAGGTGGTCGGGGGCCCCCCACAAAATTTAAGGTGCAGCCTCCACGTCTCTTTTTATATAAATGAATTATTGTATCGGTTTTTTATCTAACTTTGGGAAAACTTCCTTCACATTCCCCAACTTTTCCCTGTCCAAATGAATTCCCCAACATTTCTTGGTTTTCCAAAAAATGGCCACCCTAGGTTTAATAAACTAATTGTAAGTATTACACTTTTTTAATTTGACTGATCAGGCAGACAAATGAAGATTATTCTTCATTTCTGAATAGATTTAAATTACTTTTAACATTATGAAGCCTGATCTTTCCATTAATAATAGAAAGATCTATCAGTTTAAAAACAAATTTTCTGGTTACAACCCTGCTTAAAATACCCCATAGAGACCTATACAAAATATTCTATAGGGCGCTACCGGTTTCAATATGTGCATTTGTCCAAGGTTTTTTCCGGATACAGCCCGATAGAAAATGTATAGGAAATTACCTATATGCACACCATAACTTTTACATTTTCCCTATTGAGACCGATAGAAAATAACTCAATGAAGGATATATAGGGATATCCCTATAGAACAACCATAAAACATTTGACAAAATTTTATTAAAACCTATGGGGTCCTATAGGGAAAAAACTAATTTCTACATTTATGTGTATTTTCCCCATTGAAACCGATAGCAAATAAATCAATGGTGGATATCCCTATAGAACAACCATAAATCTCAACTATGGGTCATATACAAACCGATACACCCTATAGAAACACCATACATCCCAATACAAATATCTATCGGTTTGAACAGGGTCTCTATAGGGTATTTTAAGCAGGGAATACAATCCTTGAAAAATTTGCTATTTTTGTAAAGTTTGGTTTAGAAAATTTTGATGATACCTTTTAATGATTAATTTTAAAAATTACATAAAAATACGAAATACAGACACTTTTTGACAGTTCAAATCTAAAGCAACTGGGATTGTTTCTTCCGACTTCCCCTTCTACAGAAATTGGATTCTATCAATCAACCAATCAGAGTATGACATTCTCCAAATCACACTAGATTTTATTAGCTGGCCATACACAGACGTTATTGCGCGCGGTTTATCGTGTTATCTGCAAAAACATATGGAAAATCATGTACGTGAGTGAGTATCGCCGCGTGCAATGATAGAACGGGAAGGGATTTCAGACGTGCTTTCCTCTGGAGTGTGGAGTGTCCACACGCCACATTCCGCGTCACGGTTTACCTTTGCTTGGCAAAATTTCACGTTGAAAATTTGTACATGATCACATGCAGTTTCAAACGACTCGATAAATGACACTTTTTGCCCACTCACGATTTGATTTTTCCTTTGAAACTGATATACCACGAACAATCACTTGCTAAATCATTTGAATACTTTATCAAGTGTATGGAACATGACGCTTTTTTTGCCATGCCGTTCTTTCGTGCATACTAACCGCTACATCCCAACACGCCACGATAAACCGCGCGAAATAACGCCTGTGTATGGCCAGCTATTGATACAAAGTATAGTGACAAATTTAAAGAAATATCCCTGGTGTTATTTTAAATATCCTTACTTTGAGTAGCTTTGATTCTGCATCATCCATGGAAAAAGATTCGTGTTTGTCGCGAATATCCTTATAGACTTCGAAAATTGTGCGCATAATTAAATTGTGATGTCTATCATACGGTTTCAGATCAACTAATGCATCTTCGATAATATAACCAATTTCGTTGAAATGCTTAAATAACATGTTTTATAAAAATGACTGAAGTATTTTCAGTATACTTACAGAATGATAGTGCTTGAAAATGTTAATAAAACGTTCAGAGCTTGCAACAGTTAACCATATAAGTTCAACAGCCCCAACAACGCACCTCTGTTTGTCCTTAATGGAAACTACGAAAATATATTTCCTTATAATTTTTTAACGATTTTTTTAAACATGAAAAATCAAATTATTAAAATTTGAGAGTATGACTTACTATCCTTATTTTCGATAATTTTCTTGCCAAGGTATTCAAAATAGCGATTTTCGTCTTCACCCATTTTTAATTTCAATTTATCAAGTGTTTTTGGTGACTGAATAATTTGTTGAAATTCCTCAGCAAATTTCTTGTATAATTCTGTTAAAGCAATAAACATCTAAAAAAATTGTTAGTATCTTTTTTTTTAAATAAAGTAGTTTAAATTACTTTAAACCCAAGTGTTATATTGGATAAAGTAAAAATTAAATCGCCCCTTCTGGTATAAATGTTGCAATGAGCTTTCAGATTATTTATTTGAACATTATTGGGTTTTTGAATATTGCAAATGATCTTTCTTAGTGTCCATATAAGATACCATTTGCATGCCACAACAAGGTGTTCAGTGTACTAAAAAATATATTTTTTTTTATTAAAACACTACTTATACTTATTATGGCTGTCACATAAAGGTTGGGAAAAAACTAAGCAGTGGATTCCAGAAAGAGATATGAAGAAATCAATTACATATATTAGACTGGGCCAAAAAATCGACTATTTTTTTTGTAAAGTATATTAAAAATATTGTTTGGGGTGAGAAAAAAAAAACTATGGTGAAAGTTTGAGTCCATAATATTAATATAAAGAGGTTTATCATCGCAATTTTAGATTTTTTTTCCTGAGCGAGTTTTTGTCTCAGAACTCCCAAATCATTGACTTTAACAAAATTGACTTAAGAATATTTTTCTAAGAAAATTGAATGCTCTACAAAAAAGGAATTGGAAATTCCCGTCAGATGAACCGTTTTCTTACAATCATGCCTTAAAAATTGGTATAGTTTTACAATTTGATCTTTTAACTTTGGAATTTTGTAATTCATGTAAAAATCAGTACCCTGAAAAAAAACCGATAAATATTCTTATGGGAAATCAAATGCTCTACAAAAAAAGTCTTTTATCATGTTTGGCTAAATTCACTCCATCAAAAGTTATTCAAGGTTAAATTTGAAGTCAAAACGAAATTTTAACCTTGAATAACTTTTGATTGAGTGAATTTAGCCAAAAATATTGAGAGGTTTTTTTGTAAAGCATTTGATTTCCCATAAGAATATTTATCGGTTTTTTATGGGTACCGATTTTTACATGAATTACAAAATTCCAATTTAAAAGATCAAAATGTAAAACTATACCAATTTTTAAGGCATGATTTTAAGGAAACGGTTCATCTGACGAAAAATTTCACTTTAACCTTTTTTAGAAAGCATTTAATTTTCCTAAAAAAATATTTTCGAGTCAATTTTGTTAAACTAAATGGTTTGGGAGTTCTGAGACAAAAACTTGCTGAGGAAAACAAAATTAAAATTGCGATGATAGACCTCTTAATATTAATATTATGGACTCAAACTTTCACAATAATTTTTTTTTGTCACCGAAAACCATATTTTCGATATATCTTTTCAAAAAAAAATAGTTGATTTTTTTGGCCCAGTCTAATATATATATATATTATATATTATTATTATAGTATATTGTGAAACTAGGGATAAAGGGGAGATTCCTTAAGAGTGGAGTTTGCCCCATGAACGTAGCGAGTAAATCTATTTTGACCAATAGTGACACACAATATTTCATTTAACTGTCGCGACTTGTTGCAAGGAATTTAAAGACAATTTTATTTGACAACAGTTAAGACATAGTTAAATAAAACTACTTGAAAGTTAGTGTCAAAAAGTTTTATTTAACGTTTTTCCAATTTTAACTTCAGCCCGTGGGCGAAATAGCATTTGGGGTACGCTCGTACGAAAAACTCCAAGCCTGAGGAATCCCCTCTTTCTCCCACTAGTTGCACAATTAGGCTTTCCAAAAAATGCGGGACATTTTGTATAAATTTACCTTAATCACGAAAATGATACAATTAAAAATATAATCTTGTATTATTTTTATAAAATTAACCAAAATTATTTGTCACATGGTGGGATTTTAATGAGTGGAGCATAGTACATCACTGAGTAACCAACAGTATTTTTTTTACTTTTACTCAAGGATAGCCAAATAAAGCAATTGCTAATATTTCGATTCCTTATCTTTAATGTTCAAAATTTATTAAACAAAAACTATATTTTTTTCTCCGCGTTGCTAGAAAACTAAAACCGGTATTATATGAAAACTAATTTTACCAAGGAATCCACAATTTAATTTTTTTCCAACCCTTAAATTACACCCTGTATTTTAGTAACCTCTTCATTAGTTTTCCATATGTATAGATTTTCCCAAGGTATTTCGGTTAAATCAAACTTGGAGAACAAAATCGATATTTTTAAACTAATTAACTTAAGCTCCTGTGGATTTTCTGAACTCTCCTAAAATAAAGCCATATTAACTAAGTTACAAAATATAAAATTTGATTTTATAAAATTTATTAAGGGGCATAGGTGAAACTAATCTACAAATTTGTGAAAAACATGTAACAGGCAGAAGGACCTTGGTCAAGAGCCTTTTGGTAAAACCAATAAATAAACGTTTATTATTATTAAAGCAAAGATGTGTCCATATATTACATTATTATGCATGCATGGTGCAGAGGGGGGGGCAAATGTTGTGAAGGTTAATGATGAGGGGGGTGGGGCCAAATAACGTTATCATTTTTCTTTCATGTAAAATATAAGAAAGCTTTATTTTGGAAGAAAACAATTCCAATTTTGTACAAATGGTTGTTTAATATTAAAGCTTTCTTTTATTTTATCTGGTAGGAAATTAAATTGTACCAATCCTATATAAAATATAGTGTTTTTCATCTGAGTTCTTCTACAAATACCTATATTGAGATTATTACTACTTTTAAGTGTGTAACTGTTTCTGTCAGAAACCAATGACAGATTTTGGCACAAATACTGAGGTAGAATATTGTTTTTCATTTTATATATAAACTAGGGATGCACCGGATCGGGTATTTTGCCGATCCGGCCGGAACCGGAATTTCGGCCGCTGGCCGGACCGGATCGCCGGAATTCCGGCCGGATCGGGACCTAAATTTAAAATGTATGTGCATGCCTATTTTTATACGTAAAAGATTGAAAATATTGAGGCTGATTTATTTTTACTTTTTTTTTAAACTAGCTACAGTATGCAGAGTGTTTATTACTATTAATTTTACCTAGATAGAAATTACTGTTTATTTAAATATTAATTTTTAATTAGCGTTAACAAAATTAAAACAATTCTACTCATTCAATTGAAGAATAGCAGCCACCTGCCAATAATAAAAAAATTAAAAAGTCGGGGAACCACAGCCGCCTGTCTATCGTGGGCAAGGAAACACGCACACCCTTCACTGTTGACCAATTACAAAATATATCTGGAAAGCGATCCGGCCGGAACGGTAGTTCTGGCCAACTGGCCGGAACCGCCGGAATTCCGGTGCATCCCTAATATAAACATTAGAGTATTAAACAATATTCTATCACAAACTGGTAACAAATTTAGTACATTTAACATAGTTTTAATTGGAGTATATCTATTACAATACAATACTGTTCTCATACATCGGTTTTGTATGCACTTTATTTCCCCAATTCTAGAAGACTAAATTTCCTACAAAAAATGGATTTAATGTTAATTAACATCAATTCCATAGGAAATAAACTTTGAACCAATAAGTTACTTTAATGTGGTGCTGTTTTATTTAATCAAACAAAAAAATGCAAGATTTACTGCGAAAAAACAACGGTGCTCCAATTGTTAAAATTATTGTTAAAAGCTTAAAATTAGACTAAATTATTATTTACATACGTTTAGAACAGGATTAGAGTAGATATCAATATAACATGTATCTCTAAAAACATTAATTTTAGAGATTCATATGAAAGATATCTTATATTTTTTACAATTTTTACTTTACTTCTAAAGTCAACTGTTTTTGCTAAAATTTTGAATTATATTTTACAGCTAAATTAAATGTGTTTTCTTTGCAAAAAAGTGGACAAAAGGCCAAAACTATTCTTGATTGGATTAATAAAACAAAATTTGATAAAAACACATAAAATTAAAAAAACCTGAATAACACGTTACATCTCTAGTCCAGAGATTCCCTTGGTGGAGAAAATAACAATATTGGAGAAAATTGGATATTGGATCTCGGAATGATGCCTCATTGCCGATGAAATATTCAGGAACAGCGCAGCATGAAGTAGTCAGTTGAGCTTTGGTACTCGCGAATAAATAAATAAAATATAAGTGCAAATAAATAGACTCTTCTACAGTAGTGATATATAAATAATTAGTAGTTAAATGTTTGGTTAGTTTTATAGTTTCTTAGTGTTTTAAGTGTATATTAAGTTATAAAATAAATAGTTTGTTTCGTTAATTAACCAGTGCGTGTTTTTATTCACACTACGAACAGTAAAAACGTTACAATATTTAAATTATTTTTTCCTGAACTTTTAGAAAAGAGGGCAGAAAAACAATGTTGCTTATAGCGCTAAACAATACTAACATAATTATGTTAGTATTGTTTAGCGCTATAAGCAACATACAACTGACAACATAAATTTACTTACCAATGATTTTACCATGTATAGATTGGAATAAACATCCAATAATTTATTAACATTTGCTACCTGTCGATTATTTTTCAAAAAATATAAAACCTCTGCAATTTTTTCCAAAACTTCTGAGTTTTCATAAAGATTAAAAAGCTCGTTTAGGTTGCTCAAAATATTCTGGTAAATCTAAAAAAACATATTAGAGATATTTTTCCAATTAAATCATAATTATTTACATTGCCATAATTATCAGAAGTGTTAATCAGTAGAACAATATCAAGAATATTGATAATAATTCCTGGATATGCTTCGAATTTGTTTAGAAACTGTGGTATGTTTGTAAGAAAATGTCTTCCTACATTAACATGTACATCAGTACTTGCTTCAGGACCTAAAAATAATGTTTTGAAATCTAAACATAAAATATACATATAACTTTCTGGGAAAGTTCCAGTTTCCAGAAAAGTGTCAACCTTGTTATTTTTTTCAAAAAAATCATCCAAAAATACCCACCTGTTATTGATTTATATCTAAGGTGACGTGGACAGCCCTTTAAAGTCTGATAAACACTGTAATAAGCCATTTTAAACAAATTTTCCTGACGGTCAATGGCAATTTTCGAATTGGCCATCAAACTAATATAAGATTCCCAGTGTGTAATTTCATCATAATTAAAAAAGGCTTCCACCAAAAATGAGCCTAAATGAGAATTCTAAAAATATCAATATTATATGAGTTTTGTAATTTGTAATTGCTTCTTACATCTTCATTTGAAAGTTGATCAGAAAGCTTGATCAGAACTTTTTTAGGCTCTTCATTATCCTTCTTAAGGATATCATAAACCAACTCAGCTGCAGCTTGAGCAATGGGAAAACTACTGATGTATAAATTAGCCAAAAGGACACTCTTCATGTCTCTATTATAAGTAATGCATTTGGGATGGCTACAAAAATGCACTAGATAAAAAATAATTAAAAAAAGCACGTTTCTTACTTATTCTGCATGTATTTCCAAATATTCAAAGCTTTAATGGCCACATCATCATTAACATCAAGATTTCTGTTGCAAATTTCATGATGCAATTCATTAATGAATTTGGATTTCACTTCGTTTATATCGTCGCCTTTTATTAATGATTCGCAAGTATTGAGAATCTCTTTTCTTATTAGTGAAGACTAAAATTTTTTTTTTTAAATATTTTTTATTCAATAATAAATTTTTAAAATTGATTTTTTTTTATTACATACCTAATAAAAATTACACTCACAAATCAAAATAAATGGGAAATTCCATAAAAAACAACAAACGCCATTATTACGGGGTGTAAAAATGACAATGAAAATATTTTGTAAATAAATATAGTGTGCACCAAGTATCCAGCTATGTATGGGTATCTATTTATTTGAAGAGCTACATGGTCAGTTATATTGAATAAAAGTTGCATAATTACAAGTCTGTTAAAATGACATTTAAAACTTGGGAAAAAATTAGCGTTTCTCAAATAATTAAAAAAAAAACTAAAACTTATCAAAACTAAAAATCGTTATAAAGTTAAAAAAAAAGAGTTAAAACAAAAGATGGTAATGGTGACTTGTGGCAAAGAAATTGGTTAACAATTTAAATTACATAAAATTACTTTGTTTTAAAATTCACAGGAATAGGGATTATAGTCCCTAAAAATAACATCGCTCTGTATAAGCATCAGCAAGAGAAGCAAATAAAAAAGTAAAAATCACTTATTTATGCAAAATATGTGATAAAAATGATCTATAGTTTTTCTTCTATGCAAACATACAGTGATAATAGTTCAAATTGTTTAATTTGTAGAGATAATATTAATCTTTATTTATTATAAAATATATACATAAGCATAAGCAATAGGCAAAATATACTCATTTGAATAATAAATTAGTATTATATTATTTGTACTTGTAAATTTTTCCCCCACATTTCTGGAAAACCCTGAATATAGGAATTGAACCAATTATTATGTAATTGGAAAAATTATTAAAACATCAGCAATTAAATAAGTGTATAAATAAATGTAGAGCATAACAAAAAAATATTAAATTAGTCACTTCAGAACTCAAAATTGTTTGGCATTTATGCCATTTATTCTACTATTTTTTATTTAAAAAAAAACTTTATAATTAAATTACCTCATCTTTCAAGCACCTACTAATATAAGGTATCATATCAAAAGAACTGGTAAACATGGAGGGACAGTATTTTAACCAGAATTTCATTTCTTTTGCTACTTCTCTTTTAAATGCATTCCATCTTTTATCTCCAATAAACCAGTTTTTTGTAAATATTGTAAACATATACTCCATGTACTCTAATAGTCTTTCCCTGTGCTTTGTCTTCCCATCATTCTCCAATTGATTATACATACAACTGAATTCAGTCAAAAATTTTGAGCCTTAAAATGAATTTTCCAAATTTTCAAAAGAATTTTTATCAGAAATAAACAAGAACTTACATAAAATAGCACCAGTTAGTTTAATACAATACATTTCGCTAGAGGCAAGTTTGTACAAACAATTCAAAGTGTGTTTTGCAAAAGTATCCCTGAATACTATGTTATTTTCATAGGCAACTTGTAATAATTTTTGGACAAAATTAAATATGCCCATTCTCATATTAACAGGTAGCCTCTGATTAAGGTCAAAAATACCATGTCTTGTTATCTAAAAAAATAGAAATTTAAAATAAATTAGTAAATACATTTATAAAAATGTTTACCTCTTTCTTGGTTTTCTCCATGGCACTTATAACTTGAGTCATATCAATATTTGAAAAGTTATACAATTCAGAAATATTAATACTCTGGAAACCACAGGTGTCAATAAAGAATTGAAGAATTTCCAACATCACACTTTTGGCACCAGTTTCATAACTTTCCAGCAAATATTTTGCATGGCGCTGGAAATAATTTTATTTATTTAGGAATCCGAAAAATAGACGTTTCCCGTGCGAGCGCTAACTTAATAATAATAAAATACCTTATTTTCATCCCAAGAAACATACAGTTTATAGAGGGACACCTCTAATCATACAATTTAATATATATTTTTTAATTCTTAATACATTTTTTAAATCTAAATAAATTTTATTTTATTAATACATTTTTAATTATTATTACTTTAAATACTTTATAAAGTTTATAAACAATTATAACTTTATTATTATTTAAAAAATCTTTTACTTTGAAAAATTAATTAAAAAAATTGTCCGCTTATAAAAACAAATTATTAGGTTTAAAACCTTAAAAATAAAAAAAATAATATTCAACTTTTAAACCTTAACCCAAGCAGCATTTTTGGTTCCAAAAATCATTACCATTAACTTTATACTAAACAGCTACTTTAATTTTTACTTAAAAGTAATTCTAACTTTTAAATAGCAATATTTTGTAACAGAAACTTAATTCTTTCCTTAAATGGTTACTATAAAGTAATAAACATTTAAGTAAAACTTGGTTGCCCCCAAGAAGACTTTGCAACTTTAAAAAAGGTGTTATACCTAAGTAAAAAAAACTTTCAAGTAAATTTAATTTGCAGCAGTTACTTTCGGTTGCTACCTAAAGATTACATTATAATTATTTTTACTTTGTAGTCCCTTTGCAAGTTAAAATCTCGAAACTACAAAGTTATTATTTTAGTATTTGGAACGTTTATGGTACTGACCAAAACTACCGTTAAGTAAATTAAGGTGGAAAAAAACTTTAGTAGCGAAAACTACTTCAAAGGAAAATGCCATGTGGTAATGTAAATAATAAATTATTTTAATTTTTTGTAAATGGTTGTTTACTTTTTAATAAATAGTAATTTTGTTGGTAATAGACGGTATTAATAATTTAATAAAAAATTAATAATAAATATTAAGATTTTTTTATTTATAAACAATATTAAATAAATAATTTGTTTATACTTAAATATTGATGAAGCGCATTTATTTTACAAAAACTAAATTCATAAGTTCAACAGTAAACTTTAAAGGGTTTTTAAATTTACCTGCCTAATTAAACATTATATTGTTATTCTGGAAGTTATAAACTACCAGTACATATTTAATTAAATATTAATTTATTTATTAATAAACGACGACATTGAAAAGCCAAGTCCGTAGTGGTTCCATTTAAAAAAGGAGGGATAGTATAATCTAATATAAGTTAATATAGAAGTAAAAACAAATAAATAAAAGTAATTATAACGCTATAGCAACGATATTGAAACGTTCTAGTAACTTAGCAGCTACGTTCCAAATAGTAGCAGGGTTTATAGCTAGTGACATATTTGTTACTTTTTTGGAACTCAATAATTATTCCCCACTTTAGTCGTAACTTAGTAATGAAAGAGTAATATAAAGAGACCGGCGACGGTCGCAAAACACTTTAAAGATTCTTCTTTAGTCCCATATGAGTCAATCCAAATGAAAACACCAAAAATGAATTTAAAAGTGCGCTGCATGATTTTTTATTGTAATGAAAAAAATTGAGGATGATCTTTTAGGTGTCAAATATGAAAATCTGTTGCCGTTTTAATTTTTTGTTGCTTTACTTTTATTTGGCACCCCTTAGAAGTCTTAAATAGTGTCAATTTCTTACTCTCTTATAGTGGGCCAGAACTTTTTTTCTGTGACAAATATTGAAATAATTTTAATTTTGTTTTACTGTCCATTAAGTGTGTTTTCGATATAAATTATTATTATCCAATTAGTTAATCTCATAAAAGAATGGTAAACCACTAAAGATTCATGATAATTTGCCAATTTTTGTGATTTTTGTCTGGCTCCTGTGCCTATTCTACTGAATTTAGAAGGTTCATTTTTTTCAGGTATAAAGTACTTATACAATAGAAAATGTAACTATTATTTTAAGTTTCTAGACTATCAATTTCTTTATTAAAAAAATTATTGAAAATTGATAATTTTTAAAATTAGCCAATTTTGCCCTCAGAAATCATTATGTTGAGGAAAAAATAAAAATCTGAAACTTTCAGGAAATGTAGTCCCCACCTTCATCTTTTCAGTCCAGTTAGTCTTGTTTTGTTATTTTTATTCCTTTAAAAGATATATTAATTTTTAAATGCTCGTTTAGTAGCGATATTGTTAGTTTTATTTATAATTTAAAATTTAGATGGCTTTGACTTTGTCAATTCATGTTTGGTAGAGAAATGTCAGAACTGTCAAAAATATTTCATAAATTTTATTTGTGCGTATTTAAATTGTGATTTCAAAAAGTTTGCAAGTTTGCAAGTGTAATAAATTGAAATTAAAAATGCAAGAACATATCATAATTTTGTACCTCTTTCTTATAGAAAATATTTAAGTTCTGAGAAGTTTTAAATTGTTAAAAATAAGCAAAAACCAAAAAATATTCTAAATAAACCCCTTTATTATAACATGTTTTATTTTAACCAGTTACCTAAAAACTAAAATTTAAAGAAGTATTTGCAGATTGTGTAAATTTTTTCCAACACTAACATTTAAAATACATACATTTAACTTTTTACTATTTAGTGTCTTACTAAAGGGATCAAAATAATAGAACAAGACTAACTTGGTTTAAATTGTGAAAGAAACCGACAAAAAACTGCTTAACGCATTTTTTATACGTTTAAATTAACTCTTTATTAATTTCACTTATTATACTTAACGATATAAACCATAAGGATCTTGAATATATTTTTTACATTCTTCTTCTTTAAACACCAATTAGCCAATTAAATACTTCATTATAATGTACCTATATAATATATAATCATATATATATATATATATAATATATATTATATATATGATTTTTCAGTACATAAAATATAACATGACTACCAAAAATATCAGAACTGTCAAAAATATTTCATAATTATTATTTGTGGTATTCCTTTGGTGATTTTAAAAAGTTTTATATATAACATATGTTATATAATATGACATATTAAGTTATATACAAAATTTACCAAAGAAATACGCACAAATATTATTTATGAAATATTTTTGACAGTTCCGACACTTCTCCACCAAACATGAAAGCCATCTAAATTTTAAATTATAAATAAAACTAACAATATCGCTACTAAACAGCCATTAAAAAAATTAATATATCTTTTAAAGGAATAAAAATAACAAAACAAGACTAACTGGACTGAAAAGATGAAGGTGGAGACTACATTTCCTGAAAGTTTCAGATTTTTATTTTTTCCTCAACATAATGATTTCTGAGGGCACACACGGCGGTCCTCAAGGGTGAATAGGTTGACCAAAAATGTAGCCAAAAACTATTTACTACATCTAATTGTACTCCACTTAGGCTCTCTAAAACCATTTTTAGGTAAATCGCAGCTGATCGAAAACTTGATTTTTTTTAGTTTTTAGAGAAAATCATGGAATTTTATTAGTTTTTTTTTGTTACATTTTTTGTTATATCAAAAATATGTGTAATTTTGGTTACACTCGAACAAAAATCTCATCCTTTGATCTTTTCAATAACATTAGGTAACTACTTTTACAAAACATGAAACATTAATAACTAAACCTACAAATGACAAGAAGAAAAATCTACTACTGCTTTTCTCAAACTCAAACTATAGCTTGCATTGTCCAAACGATTAATTTTATATTTTTCCCAGGTAAGTTCTATAAAAACCAACATTTGAAGTGCCATTTCTTGATTCATTAATATCAGAAAAACAGTAGGGACAACAGACAACAGAATTGTGCTTACTGCAATTTTGGGAAATTCCTTTATGAACTTTTTGCAAGCATTCACTACATGTTCTAAAATTTGCTTTTTTGTTCTTCCATTTAGAATTTTTGCGTGTGACTGACAGCTACATGGTGACATTTGAGTCTCGTTCTTGGATGTAGCACAATTTTGTCAAAACCCGGTTCTTTTTTGGAAAGAGGTCTTTTTAAGATATTCTGTCTCCTATTAATTGTCGTTTGTCTACAATATATTGTAGACAAACGACAATTGCCACATACTGCATTGTGATATCTACTGTCATTTTTGTCAAATTTAATTAAAGCATTAAAGCAGTGTGGATTTATCAAATTGTATAGGCTATCATTTAATATAAATTTTGATGGATTGCATTTTCCAAAAACCTGCCGCAGACAACACAAACTTTCGATCGGTTTTCTTCATGATTATCTTAAAGTGTCGGCTGGTGGATTTTGGGCACACCCATATCTCAGTTTTTAGACATGGGACCCACATCAAATTTATATGAGTTTATAATGACATTATATACAAGTTCTGCGCGAGCAGAATTTAAATTAAAGTTTGGGAAAAAAGTTTGTCCTGCCCCCAAATTAAGATAATTCAAATTAAAGTGGTGTAATTTATAATTCACTACAGTTTATCAACAGATTTTTTTTTATTTAGAAATAGAATTAATAAAAATTTTAAAATGGTATAAAATCTGTAATACTCGGACTTTTTAAATAAATTTTGAAATTTGTTGATAAACTGTAGTGAATTATAAATTGCATATGGGTACCATGTCTAATAACTGAGATATTGGTGTACCCAAAATCCACCAGCCGTCACAAAGACTTTTTGCATTATTACTTTGAATTTAAAACACTACTTTAAATAACACAACAAGCACAAACATCTAAATAAAACTTATGTTCTCTGTTCAATAACAATTGACGTGTTGTCATAACACAACAACAGATTTCATGGCACCCTTTGGTAATTGTAACATTATATTGTATTTCATAGTAGTCTTAGCCTACCTACTTTTTTATTAAATTTTTTGCAGTGCGGATGAAAATTTGATACTTAACTATGATTTCAATTAATAATACTACTAAATGTTATTGAGAAGATTAAAGAATGTGATTTTCAATAAGATAATGATTAAAATTACACAAACTTTTGATATAAAAAAATGTAACCAAAAAAAACTACTAAAATTCCATGATTTTCTTTTAAAACTAAAAAAAAACAACTTTTCGATCAGCTGCGATTTGCCCAAAAATGGTTTTAGAGAGCCTAAGTAGAGTACAATTAGATGTAGTAAATATTTTTTGGCTACATTTTTGGTCAACCTATTCACCCTTGAGGACCGCCGTGCACAAATGGCTAATTTTGAGAATTATCAATTTTCAATAATTTTTTTAATAAAGAAATTGATAGTCTAGAAACTTAAAATAATAGTTACATTTTCTATTGTATAAGTATTTTATACCTGAAAAAAATGAACCTTCTAAATTCAGTAGAATAGGCACAGGAGCCAGACAAAAATCACAAAAATTGACAAATTATCATGAATCTTTAGTGGTTTACCATTCTTTTATGAGATTAACTAATTGGATAATAATAATTTATATCGAAAATACACTTAATGGACAGTAAAACAAAATTAAAATTATTTCAAAATTTGTCACAGAAAAAAAGTTCTGGCCCACTATAAGAGAGTAAGAAATTGACACTATTTCAGACTTCTAAGGGGTGCCAAATAATAGTAAAGCAACAAAAAATTAAAACGGCAACGGATTTTCATATTTGACACCTAAAAGATAATCCTCAAATTTTTTCATCAAAATAAAAAATCACGCAGCGCACCCCATTTGGTGTTTTTATTTGGAATGACTCATATACGTAAAAAATACTTAAATTGTTGCTTGTTGCAGTTTAACTATAATTAAGGCTCAGTTTCTTCATTACTATGAAAGGAGTAAGTGGATGAAGGGTTTAAGTAACATTTTTAATAATAAAGGACAACAAATATTCAAGTTTTTTTCATTTACAATTACAATATGTTTGTGTGAGGGTTTAATGTTACAGTTAAATTATAAAAGTATAAAAAAATAAACAATATTGTGATTATTAGTAAAAATAAACTTGGTATTGCAATTACAATATTCTTTGTACTTTATTATTAAAAATGTTACTTAATCCCTTCATCCATGGACTACACTTGCCCTGTTAATTGTTTGAGCCAACATGAAATGTAAGCAGTGTTACCAGATTCTGTCAAAAAAAGACTGTACGTTTCGTTCGAATTTACCTTAATTACAAAAATGACTCAATGGACAATATTAAATAACGTCAACTTGACATAATTGCATTTATTAGCATTGTTTCATTGTGTCATTTTGTAATTAAGGTAAATTCGAACAAAACGTACGGTCCTTTTTTGACAGAATCTGGTAACACTGAATGTAAGTGAAAGCTGAACTAAAATTATTACACCCTAAGCTCCAGTTGTACAATTTAAGTTCAAAATTTTGTCATAACAATTGTAACTAATGAATTAAGCATGGATTATTAGATTGTACCTACCTTTATGATCTTTAAATTGTACAACTGGGCTGAAGTGTAACAAATAATATATTATATAAATTATTATTAACACTATTATATATCATAAATATAGTGTACCTTCTACATATGTTATAAGACACAGTCTATATAGACTGGGTCTTATAACATATGCCATTTTCAGGGCCCCCTGTATAATTAACTGTATTATTTTATTAATTAAATAAACCTTAGAATAATCATGGCTGTCAATAAAACAAATAACAATATAATAATATGATTAACAATAGCAAAAAGTAAAAAAAAATCTTACCTCTGCCTGATCTGGTTCAAAAATTACATTATAATACAGTCCATCATTTCTAATAGGTTTAAATTCCTGCCAAATATTTCCTGAACGTGGTATTTTTCTTGGAGCAGTATTGAAATATGTATCATAATCTGCCGAGTTATCTACAACAATAATTATTATATTAATAGGTAATATACCTATTAAAAGATGTCTTCTCTGCATAAACAAAAAAAATCTATTTGTCTTTTTCATTTCTCTATGGTGTAGCAGCATGCAGACTGACAAAATGATAAATAAAATGTTTGCATGTAAAAAAAAACTAAAAAACTCACCTAAAGTTTCCTCGTAATCATCAGGATCATCAAACTCGATAAGGCTTGTGTTAATACTAGAAAACTGTGGCGATAGAATCTGTTCAGATCTTGCTTTTTTTGGAGTACTATGTGGTTGAGACAATGAAGAAATTTTCTTCGATAAATCTCCCATTGTTTCTCAATAATGCACAAATTGTCCACTTACCATTATTTGCAAGTCTCTTTTGAAGAAGCTGGCGAGTTTGTCTATTTGACAAATGACTGTTGCAGGATGCTTCTGATTGGACCTTAAGAAATCCCAAGCGGTTCTGATTGGATCCTTTGTTTTAGACCGGTAAACAAGCGGCCAATAAGAAAGAGCAATAAAGAGCGCGAATATTTAAATTAATAATTATGCAATTTCATTTAAATCAATTTATTTTAACTTATAATTATTTTTATTTCATATTTACATATTTTAAAAATAGTTTTTTGGTGATAAGCACTCTTATTTGAATAAATAAATTAAAAAGTGGTAAAATATGCAAAACTTTTAAAACGTGTTTAAAACACTCAACTTTATTTAAGTTTAATTTTAACTCCGGCCCTGCCGATGATTTCTGGAAGTGATCTTGGTTGCCTATACTCCAAACAAAATTTTGTCAACCTGGCAACATAGCTTTCAACCATCCTTCTGTCAAAATTCCATATGATTTGACAACTTGACAGTACGAAACGTCACTAATAAACATTTTCAAGTCTTTAATCGAAAAGATGTGGTAAATTAGTGCAATAAGTAATTAAATAGAACGCGTATTTCGTTTACTTTCGGTGATTTTTGTTAATGTGATTTTAGTTGTTAGGTTAAGGTGCTAGCATGAGCGGAAAACGGCTCAATATTTAGGTTTTACACGTCACAAGAAAATGTATCGTACGAAAAGCTCTACTAGCTTCGAATTTAACTGAGTTTTTCATAGAATTTAAAATGCAATCGAACTCGAAAACTAAGGAGATGTTTATATTAAGGGCCTTGGAAAAAATTTTAAACGACAAGGAAATAAAACGTTCGCACCATTCACAGCTTAAAAGGGCTTGTGAAGTTGCTTTAGGTAGGTTTTATTTAGTTTTTATGTATTTTTGAATAATCTGCTTGTTAGAAAAAACTACTTTCACTTTGATAGATTGTTATCTAATACTATTATCCATTTCATAATGTTTTGAATAATGAATAAAAAATCAATCATGTTTAACCTAATTTTGTTTGGTTGCAGAACAAATTAAAACGGAAACAAATGAACCTAATGGGGAAAACAAAATATCAGATGCTTTGCCTTTGCCAATAAGTGGCGAGGCAAATGTGTTGACAACCGAAAAGTATTTTTTGCCATTCGAATTGGCTTGCCAAAGCAAATCAGCTAGAATTGTGGTAACTGCTTTGGATTGTTTACAAAAGTTAATTGCATATGGACATCTTACGGCAAATGTACCAGATTCGACGACCCCAGGAAAATTACTGATCGATAGGATTGTTGAAACAATCTGTTCCTGTTTTACTGGACCCCAAACAGATGAAGGTAAGTAATAAGTAATAAATCAATATGATATATAAATATGGACAAAGCATAATTTTAAATAACTGTTCATCCTAAAAAATATAATAAAATATAACACAGAGGTTAGACAAAGTTTACAAAAAAAGAACAATTCAAGTAATTATTGATATACTTTTTAAATATTTTAAATTATCCTTTCTATATTTTTTATTAATTATTAAGGGAAATTTTTTAATTATTCTACTATTATTTTTTATACAACCATAATTTCTCCAATTAAAAAATACTTGCACATTTGGTACAGATGAAATATATATAATTCCAACAATTTTATAATCCTGATTTTGTACAAATATTGCGCCATACCACGCGAAATTAAATTATATATTTTTTATTTTATTTTAAAATTTATTTATAAGATATATATGGGTGAATATATTGAGATGTCCTCCAAGTGAAAATAATTATTTTTTATTTTTGGTTGTTTCACTGTTAGTCTAGAATGGGGTTTACTAATAACATAACATAAGTGGTACTGCACTAATGCAAGAATTTTAAGAAATCATACATTTTGAATATTAGAGCTTCACGGAAGATAGCTTCAAGGAGGTTAGGATTTCGTATGTTTTTTTTAAAACATCCCTTTGTATATTTCAAATAAGTTATTGTATCTTTTGACACCTTAATATTTTTTAAAAATACGATTGTACATACATAAAATATTTATAAAAAAAATCTGCTTACTGAGATATTACACTTCACGGTGGATAGGCTTTTAAATAGCAAATTAATGAACTTAAATTTTTGAATTATAAAACAGCAACACAACATCTGCATATAAATTCTAACTGACCTTCAGGAATCACATATGTGATGCATAATTATTATTTTTAATTTTTAATAATATTTTATATTTGATTTGATTGCTTTGGATGTGTTTAATTTACTTAGTGAACTGATATTTTACTATGATTTTACTACCTCAGATATTTGAAAACATATAGGTTAACCTAGAAAGAGTAACAGTCACGGAGGATAGGTTTTAGACTTTTAAAACCTTGTAAAAAATAATTAATTGTGGTTAAAAATCTGGAACCTGAGTTGTAATATCTACTTAATTATGAAAGATCAAAACACAAAAAAAGTAGGGGACATTTCGTGAGATTCACCCATATATATATAAGTATTAAAAAATTAAAATTTGTTAATATCAACAAAGTTATGACAACTTTAATCTTTAGACCAAAACTCTCAGAAAATGTATCAGTCAATCATGTAAAACCTCAGCTGCCTTATTTAAATTGTTTCCTAGAGTTGTACAGTTTATTTTAGGAATATACCTACTGTATACACTGTGTAAGTTTAAAAAACTCGGCAACGCTGTTTTTCTAATCACCCTAGATAAAAGGGAACACATCTGAAAACAAAATAAACAACGCATCTGTCAGTTTATGTCAAAAAATTAAAATGTATAACTTTTGTTATTTGTAATAAATTTTAGCTTTTTTTAATAGTCCTTTATAAATAAATAGTCTCAAAACGTTAAAATAACAAAAATAACATTCAACTTTTAAACGCTTATATCTTGTCGAAAAAATGTATTTTTATACTTAAAATAACATTGGACATTCTAAAGAAAAATACATTTTAAGTTTTAAATCCATAGAAGTGCACTTAATTTCTTTGGTCAAAAAGGGTGCCTGAATATATCCTTTATAATCCACGGAGGCTCAACCCCTCCTCTACAAAGTGGCCTTATAATTTGTTTTGTCAACTTTTTAGTTACAATTTTTGGGACGCCAGTTTTAGTTTAATTTATTCACCTAAGACAATCTTGTCTAGATCCTGCATATCAGTAAATAAACTTAATGACACTTTTTTAGGTGTTCAACTGCAAATTATCAAGGCACTGCTCACAGTTGTTACGAGTCAGCATGTGGAGGTGCACGAGGGCACTGTGCTTATGGCAGTGCGCACCTGTTACAACATTTTTCTCGCCAGTAAAAACCTCATCAATCAGACAACCGCCAGAGCCACCTTAACGCAAATGCTTAACGTCATTTTCGTGCGGATGGAAAATCAAGCTATCGAGGCCGAAGTGTCCGCGGAAATTAACGATTCGAGGTAGGAACCACTTAATTCTTTATTTTAATAAGTATTATTTGGAAAACTTTTATTAGATTGTCAAATGGTTCGGATGTAAAATCTGTGAAATCCCTGAAAGTCGACGTGGACGTGAAAAAAGATTTGGAAGGTTCTGAAATTGTTGCTAAAGATGTTTTAGAAGGGATTTTGGATAATGTTATGTTGGAAGTTGAAAGTAAAAACGACTCTGGACAAAGTGATGTCAATGAAGGCAGTATAACGTCGTCCATCACAAGGTAAAATAATAAATTAATAATTAAAATATACATATTTTATAGGGGTGTGCGAATAATTCGAACTTACGAATTATTCGTTCCGAATCGAATTATTCGAAAGTTCCTGAATAATTCGAATTTTTTTCGAATAATTAGAAATTTTTCGGAATTATTCGTAAACTATTATATTATTAGCGAATTTTCGAGTATTTTGAATTCAGGGGTTCTTATGTTCAATATTCAAATATGAATTAACAGTCAATATACATTTTATTCAAACCATGAAATGTAGTTACACAAATAGAACAATAAGTATTTTTTTTTTAAAGAAAATGAAATAACAGAAATTATATCGTAGCAAATACAGTATTACGAAAAATACAACATTTGAAAATTTGCTACAAATTTTTGTTCAGAAATAATAAATACGATACTGAAACATTACATGAGTAACCTTTTTCTTATAGATTTTTTTTAAACAAAATTTAATAATTAATAAGACCAAAACAAATTAAAAATATCTCTTGCCAATATTAGCATCTACATTTTTTATGTTACCGACAGAGATGAACATATATTGAAAATGAGCAATTGTTTTCTCTGGGTAATTGATTTTTAAACGAAAAGTATATTATTCGTAAGTAGAATATTTCGATACACGATTTAAAGAAATTTAAATGGAAGCAATTGGAAATCCAGAGATATTTCATTAATTCGCGAATTATTTGAAAATCTTCGAATTAAGTATTCGAAATTTTTCGAGTTATTCGTTTTTTTATCGAATATCAATATTCGATTCGATTCGAACGATATTCGCACACCCCTAATATTTTATTGTTTCGACCTTTACTTGATGAAACTCCATGTCACTAATGTATAACTAGATAAAAACAAACACTGTTTTTTGAGTTTCACGAATTTATTTTAATTTTATTTTGATAATTCTTTGCTAACACAGTAGCTTCTTCAGAAATGATTTCAAACTTCTTCTAATAACAAACTTATAACTCAGTTAATGGTTTTTTTTTACCAAATTTTAGTACAGTATTACCTGTCGAAGTATAATTTAACAACAGTTGTAATAAAATAATTTTAATTTAATATTAAAATAAATTTAACATTTGATCATTGAGGATACTATCAGATTTTTTAAATTTATTAATTTATAATGATTCAAGTAAATTTAACTTTGTACCTTTATCTGCAACATGTAAAATTTTAAATTTATTGTTAAATGAATGGTTTTCTTGAATTACATAAATGGTTGGCATAAGTTGAATCTGTTTTTTGATTTATAAAAGGTTTTCTATGTTCATTAATTCTGGTTTTAAAATTCCGGCCAGTTTGTCCTATGTAAGTTTTTGGACAGTCTGCACATTGTAGTTGGTAGACTCCGGATTTCGTATATTTCTTAGATTTATCTTTGTTGTTTTTTTATAAATGTAGGTACTCAAATTGTTTTTGGTTTTAAATGCAATAGAAATATTATGTTTTTGAAGAAATTCGCCACTTGTCTAGTCTTAGTACCTAAGTATGTGACAATGTTGTTTGTAAATGTGGGGTTCTTTTGTATTAGAAAGACTTGATTTATAGCCATTTTCAGTTTTTTGTTACTTACGCTATAGCAATTTGTCTTATTAAATTTAATGGTTACAGCGAACAATTAATTAATAATTTACTAAGTAATAAAAAACTGAAAATGGCTATAAATCAAGTCTTTCCAATACAAAAGAACCCCATATTTACATACAACATAGTCACATACTTAGGTACTAAGACTAGACATGTGGCGAATTTCACAGAACCAGTTTATCACCTTCATAAAGGGTGATTTTTTAAGTGTGTCCGAACTTCTGACAAGTGTCGCTGTAAAACAAACTGTCAATTTTCATGCATCTAGAAACTAAGTTACTCAGTATAGTCTGACAAATCATCATGGAACGTTTAACGCTTACAAATTGTCGAAATTTACCATCAAAACCATTGTTTTGTGCGCCAAACTTATCGTGCTCTTCGTGAATTTTATGGTATACATACGCCCAATCGAGCGATGTATTCGCCGAATAATCAACAAATTTTGAAATAATTTCACGCTGTTAGATGTTAAAATAAGGACAACAACAAAAACAGTGCGATTCCAAGAAAATATCATCGCTGTTGCCGAAAGTGATAAGAAAGACCCAAATTTGTCAATTCGTCGACGACGTCGAAGTTGGGCTTTGTTATTGGACTACGTGGGAAATTTTGCGGAAATATCTTTATTTTCTTTGGGGTAATGTTAAATCTTTGGTATATGTAAATAAACCAGCAACTATTCAAGACTTGGAAGCTAACATAACTCGAAAAATTGCGGAAATAAGACCTAAATTGCTTGATAAAGTGGTCGGAAATTGGATTAATAGAATTCGCTTTGTTACAAGTAGCCGCGGAGGACATTTGTCCGAAATTATTTTTAAACAATAATGTCATTGAATGTTATTTCATATAAAATAAATATTTTTAAGATATTAAATTTGGTTGTTATTTAATTTGAGTTTAAAGTTCGGACACTCTTAAAAAATCACCCTTTACATACTTAAAAGTTTACAAATTGAGGCTTAAACGTTGAGCATTTAACAGGTGATTCTTTAATTTATGCTTAAGAGATAAAGCTGAGTTACATTGTTGAAACAATTTTACATAAGAATTAAAGATTGTGGTAGCCATATATTCAAAACAGTTTTTAAATTTACTAGTTTTGTGAGCAGGTACAGTTAGTAAGGACTTATTACGTATATTAACATTATGGCACTGACTCCTAAAGATTAAAAGACAAGATAAGTATACTGGCACATTTGTAACGTAAATTAAATAAATAAGTAAAACATTGACTATAAAATAGGTTATCACATTTAAGTATATTAAGTCTTACATAGTGTTCACTTAAGTGATCCCTATAGTTAATATTATAAGCATATTGCAGACAAGAGTTTTGAAGTTTTTGAATTTTACACTGAGTTGATTTAGTTGCTGCAGTAAAATAAGCACTACTACAGTAATTACAAGCACTTAAAATAAGACTAGTACATAACTTCCATTTAACATCACTTGACAGAAATAATTTAAAGTTGTAAATGGACTAAAACTTAAAATAAGCATTCTTTAAGAGATTTTTTACATGAGATTCAAAACTTAATTCACAGTTAATTAACACACCTAGGTTTTTATCACAGTTTTGAAATTGTATCACAGATTCATTTACATATATTTATATCACATTTTTTAAGAGCTAAAGCTTTATTTCAAGCATTATTTGTCCCAATGCAAATGCACTTTACAATATTTTATCCCTTCGCACCAATCAGTCATCAAGTAAATATTGAAAAGAGTAAGGGACCCAGTATGCTTCCCTGCAGAACTCCCTTAGACAAGGTTCGACAAGACGACACTTTGCCATTAATTTCTGCATATTGGACTCGGTTGTTGAGATAATCACAGAACCAGTTTATCACCTTCATATCAAAATTGTAATAATGAAGTTTGGGCAAAAGCAACAACAATGTGCAGACTGTCCAAAAACTTACATAGGCCAAACTGGCCGGAATTTTAAAACCAGAATTAATGAACATAGAAAATCTTTTATAAATCAAAAAACAGATTCAACTTATGCCAACTATTTAATTCAAGAAAACCATTCATTTAACAATAAATTTAAAATTGTACATGTTGCAGATAAAGGTACAAAGTTAAATTTACTTGAATCATTAGAAATTATTAAATTTAAAAAATCTGATAGTATCCTCAATGATCAAATAGAAACAAATAATTCCCCTCTTTTAATATTATACAGGGTGTTATGTAATTAATGTTATATATTAAAATACTAAATACCTTTTGACATAAGGAATAAAGGAAAAATATTTAAAAAAACATTTTTCCAAAGATAAAGAAAAAATATGCATTAGAAGTTTTTTATATTTTTTGTGATACACCACTGGTTACACACTTGTTTATCTCTGCACACCTGTATTTTGTGAGTACATAGATACCAACCAACAAAGTAGCTATGCGTTGCCAGATGTAAAAAATTGTTACTAAAAATTTTTCTTGCAAAAAATAAATAAAAACTCAATAAATACAAAAGTTTTATGCCCTTAAAGCTCTAATACCCTTCTGTATTTATTTACTGATCCAGCTATTAGCTTAAGCAATGATTAGAAAATTTAGTACCTTTGAAATTTGAAATCCATAACCACAAAATTAATTTTTTCATCAGTTTTTTTCTGTGTTTACTTAGATGAAATTGGGACCAGTTCACAGGTTAAACTTTAAACATTTAATTTGTGTAAATAAATCCAAAAGCACTTCCCTTATTTAAGATATTTACAATTTGAAAACATAACCTAAAATTTAAAAGAAATGCACTAGATTCTGTCATAAAAGTTGGCAGATTTTGTTTGAATTTACCTTCAGTACAAAAATGAAATAACCAACAATTAATAAAAACGCCAAATTGACAATTTGCATTGTTAATTTTGTCATTTTTGTAATTAAGCTAAATTTAAAAAATGTTTGTCAAATTTTTTGAGAGATTTTGGAAACACTGTTACCAACCATAACATAATAAATCCACCAGATTAACCTAAAGTTCCTAGTCGATCAGTGGCGTACTATTTGGTAGGATAAAGGTTATTATAAATTATTTTTAGACTTTGGAATTTAGAAAAAAAAAGTTTCAGGTGCTTCTTTATGGACCCTAAGGAACAACCCATTTTAATATAAAACATTAATTACATAACACCCTGTATAAAATTCCCCAAAATTGGTTTATACAACTGTTGTTAAATTATACTTCTAGAGGTAAAATTATCATACTGTACTAAAATTTGCTAAAAAAAAAACCCATTACCTGCAATAACTGGGTTATACAAGTTTGTTATTAGAAAAAATTTGTAATCAATTCTGAAAAAGCTACTGTTTTAGCGAAACAATTGTCAAAATAAAATTGAAATAAATTCGTGAAACTTAAAAAACAGTGTTTGTTTTTATCTAGTTATACATTAGTAAAATATACATGTAAATTTAAAAATTTAATTTTATATTTTTAAGGATTCCATCGCAGGAAAGCCTGGAGACGCCAAGCGAAATCGATTCGGCGGTTACAGCAAAATTCACACACATTTTACAGAAGGACGCGTTTCTGGTGTTCCGCGCCCTCTGCAAGTTATCCATGAAACCACTGCCCGAGGGAACCCCCGACCCGAAATCGCACGAACTACGCTCGAAAATATTATCCTTGCAACTTTTACTGTCCATCCTGCAAAACGCCGGGCCCGTTTTCAGGTCGAACGAAATGTTTATAACCGCGATAAAACAGTATTTGTGCGTGGCACTGTCCAAAAATGGAGTCAGCTCGATACCGAAGATCTTCGAGTTGTCCTTGGCTATTTTCCTCGCGCTCCTGTCGAACTTCAAGCTGCATTTGAAGATGCAGATCGAGGTTTTCTTCAAGGAGATATTCTTGAATATCCTGGAGACGTCCAATTCTTCTTTCGAACACAAATGGATGGTTATACAGGCGTTGACGAGGATTTGCAGCGATGCCCAGAGCGTTGTGGATATTTACGTGAATTATGACTGTGATTTGGCTGCTGCGAACTTATTTGAACGATTGGTGAATGATTTATTTAAGGTAAGTTCCTTATCTCCCAAAATACACCAAAGTTTTTGCGTTGCCACACAGTAGGCTAGAGAGAGCTTCCAGCGCGCAGCGCAGAAAGTCAAAATGAGTAAGAGTTTTATTTTGACCAAATTAAGGGAATTTTTAGGGACATTTTGACTATAATTTTATTAAATACTGTCATACGTTATGGCTGGAATGAATAATGGTTATAAGTAAGTTTTTATTATTATTGTACTGTCACTACCTTAACAAAGTAACCGCTGCATACTTTTAATGTATGTTATTAAGGTTTTAAAAAATGTCACGCACTGTCACACTCTGTGTTTAAGTTTTTTTAATAGGTTACCGTTCTGTCTTTTAAATAAATCCTAAATCAAGTGCTACTAGGCGCAACAAATATGGTTTGTTTATTTTTACTTAGTAGACTACGCATTTACAAAAATATTTTTTTAATATAGAAAAACGCTGGAAGCCCAGAAGAAATATCATTGTATTAAATATTGTCATACATTGGTGATGGAAACCATGAATTAAAATGCTACTAATAAATATAATTTTATATATATATAAAATTATATTTATTAGTAGCATTTTAATTATTTATTTAGATTTTCGTCTTATTTTGACTTGCTTAATCTGCTCCTAAATTTATGCCACTAAGTTTAGGGACACCTTGTATACAAGGTGTCCCTAAACTTAGTGGCATAAATTTAGGAGCAGATTAAGCAAGTCAAAATAAGACGAAAATCTAAATAAATATTTTTCCTAATTACGTTTGTCTAAAAGATACAGGGTGATAAAGTGTTACTTTTTATATCAGTTTTTTTAATATAACTTCTACTATGGTAGACTTAGAAAGGTAATATTTTGCGAACAGTCATTTACTACCAAAACACATATTCACACATAATTACAATTGTTCGAGTGAACGCAGTGTTCTGGAAACAGGAGTTGCTTAAGCTTATTGTGCCATACAAACTTTGAGGTTAGGTTTTTATACCATTTGATGCAATTTTTCGATTACTCAGTTCGGCTACTATTAAAAAGGTGTACCTCTCAAACTTCGATAAAATTAACCGTTTCCGAGATATTCGAGATTACAATAATTGTTATATGGCATTAAAGGACTAAACGGTATATGATAACAAATTTTTTAATTAAAAAAACTACAATTTTTTTAATGTGACGGTCAGGGCAAAAAAAGTCCAGAGGCTCATGAAATGCCCTTTTTAGTTTTTTCAATTAAAAAATAAAATTTGTTATCATATACCTTATAATCCTTTTAAATAATGCGATATAACAATTATTGTAATCTCGAATATCTCGAAAACAGTTTATTTTACCGAAGTTTGAGAGGTACACCTTTTTAATGGTAGCCGAACTGTGTAATCGAAAAATTGCATCAAATCTTATAAAAACCTAACCTCAAAGTTTATATGGGACAATAAGCTTAAAGCAACCCCCGCTTCTACGACACTGTGTTCACTCAAACAATTGTAATTATGTGTGAATATGTGTTTTGGTAGTAAGTGACTGTTCGCAAGATATCTCCTTTCCAAGACTACCATAGTAGAAGTTATATTAAAAAAAACGTAAAGTAACACTTTATCACCCTGTATCTTGGAAACATAAGTAATTAGGAAAAATATTTATTTAGATTTTCGTCTTATTTTGACTTGCTCAATATTTTCCTAAATTTATGCCAATAAGTTTAGGGACACCTTGTATATAATAAATAATTTTGAATTAATTACTGATAACTATTGGTGAATATTAATTATTGCCACCACCGCGGTAGGCTAAAGAGCGCTTCCAGCGCGCGAAAATATAAAATGAGTAAGAGTTTTATTTCGACAAAATTTAGTCAATTTTGAATTCTGTAGCAAATCAAATGAATCGTCTAATTTCAAAAGCGGCCATATCCAATTTTTTTTTAAATGACTTTTTACACTAAAAAAATCGAAATATTACGTAGTATATTAGTGCAAAATTATATCCCAACAAAAAAGGCTATTTGCAAGGAAAATAATTCATTAAAGTTTTATGTTAGTTTTAATAACGGCCATCTCCATTGATGTTTTAAGTACAAAAATGTACTTAAAATGCCCATTTCCCTTTTGAAATATATGTTTTTTGAATTAAAAATTAAATCTGGTTACTTATTTGTAGAAAAAATATTTTTAGTTACCATATGAACAAGTTTTTCAAAATATATTTATTTTTTACCCATTACTGTTTAGAATGTTTTTTTGACGTTTACTTAAAATATTCTTCAAAGGAGATGGCCGCTTTTCAAATTAGACGATTCAAATAATGTTATATCACCTTCAAATCTGTTGAATTTTTATCAGGTAACCAGTCAAAGTTTAAGAATTATATTTATTTGCTTTGTGTTGGTAAATTAGCTTACTGTTCTTTCTTTTAAATAAATCTAAAATCAAGTGCTAGCAGGCGCCACAAATATTTGTTTGAAGCATTTTAATAGAAAGTTGGTTTTAAATTACTTAGTAGACTATGCATTTACAAAAACAAATGTATCTCGAAAAAAACTTAATTCAAAATTTTTTTTTTCAAAAAATTTAGAAAAACTTTGAAAGCCCAGAAGTAATATTATTGTATAAAATACTGTCATACGCAACAATTAGGTTTTATTTTATAAATGTTTAGTTATATTTTTGTAATTTACTCATTAAAACTATAGATCTTAATTTTGCCATCACACAAATATACTTTTGTTGTTAAAGTAGGATTTGTTTGTCTATTGGTAGTAAAAAGTAATTTTTATTAAAATTTTATCAATAAGACCAAAAAAATTAACATAAACTAAGAATTACTTAACCAAATAATTTCTGCGCGCTCTCTAGCCCAATGTGCGCAATATCAATAATAAATCAATTCTTTTCTTAAATATTTCACATTTTATTAAATATTTTTCTTTAGGTTGCCCAAGGTAGGCACGCTTTGGAACTGGGTGCATCGCCTAACCAGGAAAAAGCAATGAAAATTCGAGGTTTGGAATGTCTCGTGTCGATCCTAAAGTGCATGGTGGAGTGGAGCAAGGATCTCTACGTGAACCCTAACCTACAATCCACTGTTGGCGAACAAGAACCCAAGGAAACGAACGATACGGGTTCCTTAAAATCGCACGGAGGTTCTTCTAACAGTCTTCATTCCGCCGAGAGTATAAATAAGGAGGTTTTCGATTCGCCCGAGCAGCTTGAGGTGCTTAAACAACAAAAAGAGGTAATAACACTTTTTTGTTGGCAATAAAAACGTCGGTAACTTTTATTTACTAAAAATATGGCGGTCTTTCCAGTGGTGTGCTTAGATTAACGTTAAAATTGATATTTTAGATTTTTGACAAATTGGCGCCCAACCTCAAAAATTAAAAATGACTAACTTTTACCAATTGTATGTTATTTTTATTATTTTTGGAAAGTTTACTAAAAGTATGACGATCTTTCAATTGGTGTGCTTAGATTAACGTTTAAATTGATATTTTAGGTTTTTGAAAAATTGGCGCCCAACGTCAAAAATAAAAAATGTGTAACTTCTACAAATTTGATGGTATTTTTATGATTTTTGGAAAGGTTACTAAAATATGAACATCTTTCCAGTGGTGTGCTTAGATTAACGTTAAAATTGAATTTTTAGGTTTTTCACAAATTGGCGCCCAACGTAAAAAATTAAAAATGTCTTCTGTAACTTCTACAACTTGTGGGTTGTTTTTATTATTTTTGAAAAGTTAACTAAAAATATTTCCAATGGTGTGCCTAAATTAACTTTAAAATAGATATTTTATTTTTTTGACAAATTGGCGCCCAACGCCAAAAATTATAAATGTCTGTAACTTCTACAAATTGTAGTTTATTTTTGGAAATTTTACTAAAAGTATGACGATCTTTCCAGTGGTGTGCTTAAATTAACGTTAAAATTGATATTTTAGATTTTTGGCAAATTGGCGCCCAAAGTCAAAACTTAAAAATGTCTGTAAATTCTAAAATTTTAAGTTATTTTTATGATTTTTGGAAAGTTAACTAAAAATATGACGATCTTTCCAATGGTGTGCCTAGATTAAGTTTAAAATTGATATTTTAGGATTTTGACAAATTAGCGCCCAACTCAAAAAATTAAAAAATTTATTTTATTAGGTTATTATTTTATTTTTGGAAAGTTTACTAAAAGTATGACGATCTTTCCATTGGTGTGCTTAGATTAACGTTTAAATTGATATTTTAGGTTTTTGACAAATTGGCGCCCAATGTCAAAAATAAAAAATGTGTAACTTCTAAAAATTTTATGGTATTTTTATGATTTTTGGAAAGGTTACTAAAATATGACCATCTTTCCAGTGGTGTGCTTAGAATATCGTTAAAATTGATATTTTAGGTTTTTGACAAATTGGCTCCCAACGTCTAAAAATAAAAATGCCTGTAACTTCTACAAATTTTAAGTTATTTTTTTGATTTTTTGAAAGTTTACTAAAAATATGACGATCCTTTCAGTGGTGTGCTTAGATTAACGTTAAAATTCATATTTTAGGTTTTTGACGAATTGGCGCCCAACGTCAAAAATTAAAAAGGTCTATAATTTCTACAAATTGTATGTTATTAATATGATTTTTGGGTTACTAAAAATATGACCATTTTTTCTAGAGGTGTGCTTATATTAACGTTAAAACTGAAAATTTAGTTTCTTGATAAGTTGGCGCCCAACGTCAAAAATTAAATACAGAAATTTTCTAAAAATGTTATTTTTATGATTTACGTTTTCACCTCGGTTTTCACGTTCAAAAGATTGCTATAATAACACCATTTCTTTAGGTTTGGGAGACTGGTATAGACATGTTCAACAGAAAATCTAAAAAAGGTATCGCTTACCTTCAAGAGCACGGTCTTCTGGGAACCACACACGAAGAAATCGCAAAATTTCTTCACGATGAAGATCGACTAGATAAAACCAACATTGGAGATTTCCTAGGGGAAAATGATGATCTCTGCAAGGAAGTTATGTACACTTACATCGACCAGATGAACTTTGTGCAAATGGACTTTGTGGCTGCTTTAAGGCACTTCTTGGATGGGTTCAGATTGCCTGGAGAAGCGCAGAAAATTGACCGGTAAAGAAATTATTAAGACTATTTTGGATAAAAGCTATAATCAGATTTACTATAATAATTTTCGGAAAAAATTGACCATAGAAATTTTTTCTTTAAAAAAGCCTAACCCAAACTTTGCAGGATCCATTAATAATAATAATAATAATAATAATAATATGACCACTTTTGACCTCGACCCCTTTCGATTTGGCTGAAATTTTTTTATTTTTTTCTAATCTATCAAAAACATTTTTCAGAATATTTAAAAAATTGACATATCAGGACGTTTTTTTATTTCAAAATTTTTGTTTTTAAAAGCACTTTTCAGAAAAATATTTTAAATAAATATTCAAACCGATATTTTAGTTTTTTTAAGTTTCGTAAAAAACGAAAATTTCTCGATGATTGTCATTTTTATTAGAAACCGACATTTTCTGCATATTCTCTGAAATTTTCGTTTTCAATTTTTCTTTCAATTTGACTATTACTCTGGGGATTTTTGAGAATGTAGGGAGAACCTTAAGTTTGAAAAAAAAATTAATGAAATTGCTAGTAGTAATCATCGAAAAAATTTCAATGTTTTCCAAAAGTAAGAAAAAAAAATGGAAGATGGTTCTGAATAATTTTTTTATATATTTTTTTGATAACTACAACCAATTTATTGTTTGGAAAAACAACATGCTTTTAAAAAAAATTAAGTGGTTAATTTGTGTCGGAATTCGTTTCATGTTGTTTTTTTTTCAACACTTATTTTTTTTTCTTTAATTACCAAAAAAACTTATTTTATAAAATAATTTTATAAACAATAGCTCTATATACAATAAATAAAATTATTTCTCTACACATTTCAATAATTTACATACTCTGGATTTGGTGAAGTTTACTTTTACTCTAACGATAAGACGACCATCTTTTTTGGTATATTTTTGGTTTTTGGTTTACTAAGCTCTCACTTGCAATATTATACAGAGATATTCTTTTGAGTATTCCACAAATGCCATCATAATCATTTTCTTTGAGCAGTAGCGAAGAAATGCCACTCTGCTTGTATTCCAAAATTATTCAGAACTATCTTATATTTTTTCTTACTTTTCCTATAACATTGAAATTTTTTGATGAATTCCACTTTCAATTTCATTTATTTTCAAACTTTGAGGTTCTCTCTACAATCTCATAAATCTCCAGAGTGCTATTAGGGCGTTTCCACGAAACCTTACCCCACCTTGACAAAAAATCAGATGTGTTATTTAACAAAATAACAACTATATCTGAAGTCAAATAGTTTGCGACGTAATTTATAACCTTAAAATATTCGTACATTGTAATACTAAGACGCTAACATTAAGAATAAACACAGAAGAGTTTCAATACTCGATAAAATGTTCAAATGTCGCACCCGTTACATTTTAAGATAATTTAAAAAAATAAACCGGTCGCACCCTATTCATGACGTTATAAAACGTTTTCTTTACAAGTTTTTATTGACATTTTGTTTGAGTTAAATACTTAATTTTTTATACTATTTTTTTATATTAACGTATCTTGATATATATGAACAAACACTTTATTATCATGAAAAAACGCAGTTTTAGTGTCGCACCCGTTACAATGGAAATACCCATTATTAAAAAAAAAATAGAAACCAAAAAACGCAAATTTTGGAGAATTTGCCGAAAATGTCCAATAAAAAAAAAGACAAAAAAGTATAAAAATGACAATCATCGAGAAATTTTCGTTTTTTTTCTTTAATTCAAAATAAAAAACGTTCGGTCTGAATAATTTTCTTCTATATTTTTGTGAAACCCGTCTAAAATCTTTATTTGAAGAGATATTAAAAATTAAAAAATCCAGCTGCATGGTTTAAAAAAGTAATTTTTTGATAAATAAATAAATAAATAAATCGTTTATTAGCGAAAGCTATAAATGTTACATTTTATATATAAATATACTTATTATCACAATCCAAAATCAAACGCTTGTGTGTACATAAAATGATAGTTCCCTTTTAAATTTACTATAATTTGACTCACTTTTAATTATCACAGGTAAGTTATTAAACAAAATTAGACCATTATAGAATATTGTTCTATAAAGAGCACAACCACTTGCTGTATCCACATAAAAATCACTTGCTGTTCTCGTGTTATATTCATGAACATTATTAACAAATATTAATTTGCTATATAAATAAAATGGTGTCATTTTATTTTTTATTTTATAAACTAAATCAAGAGTACGGTATAAAATTCTTTGGTTAACATTCATAAAATTGAGGACTTCCAACATAATATTAATTGGAGTATATCTGTTACAATGCAAGATTGACCTCATAGCTTTATTTTGTAAAACTTGGAATTGTTCCTTTTCGTTTTTATTTAAAAGAAATAATATAGAGGCACAATCATCCAAGTGTGGCGCTATAATGGATTTATACAACAGGATTTTAGTTGACATACTTAGATAATTACCTATTCTTCTCATAAAGTTAATTTTTTTGGACATTTTATTCATTATTAGCAAGGCATGGCTTTTAAAACTAAGATTTTCATCTATGTTTACACCCAGGTATTTAATTTCATGAACTTTTTCAATTACAATATTATCTATTTTAACTTCATGTGTGAGATTTCTAAGCTTTGAAATAGCAAATTTTTTTCCTATTAACATATATTTAGATTTACTCAAATTTAAACATAAATTGTTATCACAAAGCCAATCATATAATGATTTAAGATCATCATTAATACATTGAAACAAATTATCTAAATTATTACCTGTAATATATATCATGGTATCGTCTGCAAACATGCACAATTTACATTTTTGTACATGATAAACTATATCATTAATGTATAAGTTGAAAAGAACAGGACCAAGTACAGTTCCCTGAGGCACACCATATTTAGTTTCTAATTTTTCAGATAAACAGTTTTTGTATTTTACTTTTTGCGATCTATTCTTTAGATAAGACTTGAACCAACTTAAAACACTGCCTCCCAGTCCTATTCCTTTCAACTTACACACCAATAAATCTCTATCCACAGTTTCAAATGCCCGTTTAAAATCCAAAAATACAGCTACCACAAATTTATTATTTTCTAAACATTTGTACCACTCATCACATACATTAAGTATAACAGATTCACAAGAATGCTTTTTTCTAAACCCAGACTGGTTATCAATAATCACATAATTTGTATCACAGAAATTCATTAGTTGATTCTTAACCTCAACTTCTAAAATTTTTTCATAAATTGTTACAGTATTTATTGGTCTATGTTCTTCCACTAAAAATGTGTTTGGAACTTTAGGAACAGGGATAACTACTGAAACTTTCCAGTTATCTGGAAAAACTCCAGTTTGTAACGATTGGTTTACCACCTCAATAAAACGATTTTCAATAACTTGGAATGAATCTTTTATCATTCTTGTATTAACTAAATCTTCAATGTTAATTGTGTTTTTTAATTTCATTATGATTTTTCTTAGTTTATGCATTGTTATATTTTCAAACTGATTTAATTCATTTTTTTGCTGAATATTCTTTAATGTTACTTCATAATCATTTTTTGTTTTAATAGTTTTTACTATGTCACTGATACTTGCCAAAAAATAATGATTAAATTTTGATGCTATTATGTTTGGATCAGAAGCTTCAATATCGTTAAACCTTATTGTGTCCTGCATTGCACCTGCTTTATTTGGTAATAATTTTTTTAATTATTTCCATAACTCCATATTATTTTTGCTATCTTTAATTTGATTTTTGTAATACATTTCTTTGTTAATCCTTATTTTTGTTGTAATTTGGTTTCTCTTTAGTTTATATAATTGCCAGTCTTCCTCAGTTTTAGTAAATAAATATTTTTTATACTGAATATCCCTCTCCCTCATTAATGATATTATTTCTTTATTAATCCATTTTTTTGTTTCATGGCACTTTAAAATTTTAATTTCTCTAATTTCGCTAATTTTGTGTATTGATTGTTTTATGTTAAATTCCAATTGTGAAGATAATAAATTTACATTTGTAAAATTGTTGTTCCATGTGGTTTTATTTAGTTCTTCTTGAAATCTATCTGTGCTGTAATTTGTTAAATTTCTTATTTTTATACTTGAATATTTATTGTTAAGTTTATTTATATTATCTTCGATATCTATTGTCAATATATTATGATCACTTATCCTCGGTGTTGTAAGAACTTCATGTTTTAGTTCTTTTTCATTAGTTATGATGTAATCAATTATGGTTGAACTGTTATGTGTTGTTCTAGTAAATTTTTTAACTATTTGATAAAAACCGTGTCTGTAAATTATTTCTTTAATTTTTTTGCTATAAAATCCATCTTTAGAAAGATCAATATTAAAGTCGCCATTTATTATTATTTTACCATTAAAATCCATGCTTTCTAAGTAATCATCCATAAACTTTAGAAATATATTATCCTTTTTTTGTGGAGGATGGTATAAACTTGCAATCAAATACTTTTTATTTCCTAACCATGTTTCTATAGCTAATAACCATAAATAGTCTTCATAAACTTTATTACAGATAACTTTATACTTGAGTTTTTTTCAATATATATTACTACTCCACCTGTTCTAGAGTTTTTTGTCGCGCACTTTATAATTTTATAGTTTTCAATTTTTATTTCCTTGTCATAAATTTCTTCCCCTAAATGTGTTTCAACAAGACATAATAAATGTGGTTTCCATTGTTTAGCTAAAATATTTATTTGATCGATATTGTTTAGCAAACCCTGACAATTAAAAGCTACAATTTTATTATAAACATTTGGTATTAATTGCTATATATTATAGTTTATTCTTTTACCTGCATTTTCAACAGCTCTTTTAAAGCAAGGACAATTTTCATCGTAAGCTGCATGATTGCTATCAATCTTTATTTTAAATTTTTCCGAGGCTGTCATGCAGTTAATACATTTTATTTCTGTTACTGTACATTCTTTGGTTTTATGATTTGCTGCACACTTAAAACAAGCATTATTTTTTTTACAGTATTCAGCCTTATGGTTAAAACCAGCACAATTGTAGCATCTATATACCCCTAAATATTCAAAAATACTACATTTTTTCCAACCCAAATTGATTTTATCCATTTTTATAATTTTACTATAACTTTCAGGTTCAACTTCCATTATTACATTACCATAGTTTTTATTACTCTTTACATATTTTGTACTTATTTTGAATTCATTTTCCATAATAACCGGTTCATTTTGATTTACAATACTTTTTTTAATATCATTGTCTTCTTTGTTAAATACCTCTAACTCAACTCCTGTTATAATTATTTTAGGTTTCCTTAACATTACTTCTTCTATCTTATACTTCTCACCCATACTTTCATTAATTTTTTCTTTGATTAACTCTTTAGATTGCACATTTGTACAACTAATTTCTATTCCACCTTTTTTAACATTTTTAATGTTATCCACCCCAATAGCAAATTTTGTGGGGTCCACAGTTTCTTTTAAATCATTTCTCGTAATATTATTGTTTTGTTCCTCATCAACCGGTTTTAGAATTATTACCTCTTGTTTTGTATTACTTTTTTGTACGACAACACTACACTTGAACAATAAAAAACAAAAAAGCATCGTTAAAATTGATAAAATAGATTTAAAATGGTTTTTTTTGAACACCATATTTTTGAATATTTAGAAGGATTTTTTTAGGGCTGTACAATTTAGCCGGTTAAGCCGGCTAAAAAAGTTAGTCAAGTTAATTAGCTAGCTAACTGATCAGCTTAGCTAATTTAACCGGTTAACTAAATTAGCTTAGCTAATTAGCTGGCGGCTTAACCGGTTAATCTAGCGTAGTTCAGCTAATTAACCGGTTAGTCGTTAGCTTAGCTAATTAGCTGAGCTAAGCTAGATTGACCGGTTAACCGCCAGCTAATTAGCTAAGCTAATTCAGTTAACCGGTTAAATTAGCTAAGCTTATCAGTTAGCTAGCTAATTAACTTAGCTAACTTTTTTAGCCGACTTAACCGGCTAAATTGTACAGCCCTAATTTTTTTATCCTAATTTTAAAAATATATAATTTGAATATGTTTGAATTAAACGTTTTATTAATAATTGAACCAAAAACCGAGGGGTAAACCACTTTAAAATCTTAGAGAACAACGTTCAATGTTAGTGGACGTTGTGTTGAGATTTTTTTCCTTATCAGTCGTTTCAATAAGAAAAACTTGCTTAATCGGTGCTTAATCGGTGCTTAATCAGTGCTTAGCGACGCGTTGTACATGACTACCCTTGTTTTTGTTATCCTTAGCCGTTAATTCGTAAGCGATTTTTAATTTAAAAAAATCAGTGGTTTACCCCTCGCCAAAAACCTGGCTTATTTTAACGTAAAAATCATAGTTGCCATGGATAAAGAACTTAATCCATGGCAACAATGATTATCGCGTTAAATATATAGAAACCAGCAAGAAAAAAATCAAAAATTTACAGGGTGTTTCAATGAACAAAACAATGTCAATGCTGTAACTTTTTTCGGTTGAGTAAAAATTCTCAAAAAGATAAAAAAGTCTTAGCCGATTTTTACTTTTATTATTATTTTTATTAATACATTCTTAACATAGTATGGTATATATAGGTATTACCTACCTACCTAAAGTTATTTACCTTCTTCAGGTTGATGGAAAAGTTTGCAAGTAGATATTGCGAATGCAACCCAAACAACGGATTATTCGCCAGCGCAGACACCGCTTACGTTTTAGGCTTTTCTATTATTATGTTAACAACGGATTTGCACTCCCCGCAAGTAAAAAATAAAATGACAAAAGAGCAATACATCAAACTAAACCGCGGCAACACCGAAAGCAAAGACGTACCGGAGGAATATCTATCGCAAATCTACGACGAAATAGCGGGCCACGAGATCAAAATGAAGAACGTCGTCAACAAACCGGGAAAGCAGCAGATAAACAGCGAAAAGCGCAGGAAGATTTTGTTCAACATGGAAATGGAGGCGATTTCCAGCGCGGCCAAGAACCTCATGGAGTCCGTGTCGCACGTGCAAGCCCCGTTCACACTCGCCAAACATTTGGAGCACGTCAGGCCGATGTTCAAAATGGCGTGGACGTCCTTCTTGGCGGCTTTTAGCGTGGGTCTGCAGGATTGCGGCGACGACACCGAAGTGGCTACGTTGTGTTTGAACGGCATCCGTTGCGCCATTAGGACTGCCTGCATATTCCACATGTCGCTAGAGAGAGATGCTTATGTCCAGGCTTTAGCAAGATTCACCCTACTGACAGCTAATTCCCCTATAATGGACATGAAAGCGAAAAACATCGATACCATTAAAACTTTGATTATGGTCGCCCATACTGACGGTAACTATTTGGGAAAGAGTTGGTTGGATATACTGAAGTGCATATCTCAGCTGGAGTTGGCGCAGTTCATCGGTACCGGCGTCAGACCGGAGTTTTTGTCCGGGCCAGGTCACAAACCCCCGGATCCAAGTTCCAAGGAGCACATAGGTAGGGATCTAAAATGACGGTGATTTATTTATGTGACACGTGACATGTCATTTATATGTTATTTATTGTCATTTATGGTCATTTTCATTTCCTTATCTTTAATGTAGATATAGAAACATCAGACAAGTCACAAGTAACTAAAACATTAATAAATTTAAACATAAATTTAATTGAAAAAAATAACAAAATTTAAAATTAAATAAAAATCTCTTTATAAATCTCTTTAAACAAAACAAAACCATATCCTAGTAGAAAATAAAGATATCTTACTGGTTTTTAACCAGTTATAACTAAATTTTTTTGTTAGATTTATAGTCATCGACTTCAAAGTCATGACATCTTCCATCTCCTAAATTATTATAGTTAATAGTCTCGAAAATTTTAAATGATCATGTTTTTAGCATATGGGGAATTCCACGTGAGTTCGACACGAAAAAACCCTTGCCATTTCAAAACTCCTCGGCAATTTTTCCATAGGTTCCCTGACTCAAAATAAAAATTCAATTATAATTTTAGCACGGTTTATCAATTGGTTTTGGAGATATGATTTTTTAAATTTTCAGGTTTATAACGATTTTGCTAATGTCATTTATCATTTTTCTTGTCTTGAAACAACTATTTGAAATAAATATTTTTGATGCTGTGGCGTTTCAGCACACTATGAATTTTTTTTTCGAAAACTAAAAATCCATTTTCTACAGTATGTATTTTTTTTTTGCTTTTAATATTTAAGCGAATACAATTTTTTTATCTATATTGGATCGTGGCTATCGAAAAATTAATAATTTTTTCGGAATTTTAAATTTTAATAATTTCGATTTTTCCACTTTCGGACATTTTGTGATATCAAATATATTTTTTTTATGTAATCTTTTTATATTTAGATCTTTTAACTAATATATTAAAAGTATTTAAAACAATTTAAAGAGTACTGCCTATGAATATACAAGGTGTATAAAGGTGGCATAAATTTAGGAGCAGATTAAGCAAGTCAAAATAAGAAGAAAATCTAAATAAATATTTTTCCTAATTACGTATGTTTAAAAGATAGTGTGATAAAGTGTTACTTATCATATCAGTTTTTAATATAACTTCTACTATGGTAGACATGTAAAGGTGATATTTTGCCAACAGTCACACATTCACAAATAATTACCATTGTTCGAGTGAACACAGTGTCGTAAAAACAGGGATTGCTTAAGCTTATTGTCCCATACAAACTCTGAGGTTAGTTTTTTATACCATTTGATGCAATTTTTCGATTACTCAGTTCGGCTAATATTAAAAAGGTGTACATCTCAAACTTCGATAAAATAAACCGTTTTCGAGATATTCAAGATTACAATAATTGTTATATCGCATTAAAAGACTGAAAGGTATATGATAAAAAAAAATTTAATTGAAAAACCTACAATTTCTTTTAATGTGACGGTCAGGGCAAAAAGTCCCGACTCTCATGGAATGCCCTTTTTAGTTTTTTTAATTAAACAATAAAATTCATCATAAACCTTTTAATCCTTTTAAATAATGCCATATAACAATTGAAGGGGTTAGAATAGAAAGGGTATAAGTGCAATTTCTTTAATTTAGGAGATAAGTTCGTTTTGTGAAAGATAAGGTTCCGACGTATCGAAATGAAAAGGATTTAAGTAATTTTCATACTTCTAGGGACCTCTATTATCCAGTAGAAAAACATTACTAAACAAAATTCTTCACTTTTTTATGGTAACATAACTTTAACTTCAAATATCTCCAAAAAATGAAAATGTTACTTATACCCTTTTTATTCTAACCCCTTCAATTATTGTAATCTCGAATATCTCGGAAACGGTTTATTTTATCGAAGTTTGAAAGGTACACCTTTTTAATGGTAGCCAAACTGTGTAATCAAAAAATTGCATCAAATGTTATAAAAACCTAACCTCAAAGTTTGTATGGGGCAATAAGCTTAAAGCAACCCCCGTTTCTACGACACTGTGTTCACTCAAACAATTATAATTATGTGTGAATATGTATTTTGGTAGTAAGTGACTGTTTGCAAAATATCACCTTTCCAAGACTACCATAGTAGAAGTTATATTAAAAAAACTGATATGATAAGTAACACTTTATCACCCATATTTATTTAGGTTTTCGTCATATTTTCCTAAATTTATGCCAATAAGTTTAGGGACAAATTGTATAGTAAAATGATTGATTAATTGACTTTCAATCTTAATTATTAATTTCGTAATGATTGTCAAAATCGTTATAATCATGAAAATTTAAAAAATCATATGTCCAAAAACAACTGATAAACCGTGCTAAAATTAAAATTGAATTTTTATTTTGAGTCAGGGAACCCATGAAAATATTGCCGAGGAATTTCGAAATGGCAAGGGTTTTTTTCGTGTCGAATTCACGCGGAATTCCCCATATGTATATTAAAAGATAATAATAAGAATAATAATAATAATAAATTTATTTGCCCAACAGAAAAAATTCCAATTACAGGACAAAGAACAAAAAATAAAAACTATAGTAACAGCATAATAGCAAAAATATAAAATAACTTATACATAGTAAAGTAAGTCTATAAACAAAAATAAACTAATTAACGCTTAAAAAAGTACAAATAATAAATGACAATTCAGAATAATTAATATCACACACGTGAGATATTTTATTAAAGTTGGTACACATAACAAACATTGGCGACCGCAAAAGTACATTTGTACGTGCAAAACATTTAAAGGTTGAAACTGACCTAGAATGAATACGCGGAACATGAAAATTCAACCGCTCAAGCAGATCTGGACAGTCAATCTTATTATGGACAAGTTTGTACAAAAATTTAATTGAAAATATATTCCTCCTAACATCTAGTGCTGAAATATTAAATTAAATAATTTATAACTAGTTGATTTTGATGCATACTTGAATAGATGCTTTTCCCAATACCAATTAAATTGGAGTTATCTTTGGGTTCTTGCTCTAAGTGTTGACTAGTTAAAGCAAGTTAAAATAAATCAATTTTTTCGCTTTTTTTTCGCATTTGGAGACTGTGACTGTCATATATTTTAATGAAGGTCAGTTATTTTTTTGACGGGAAAAAAAATTAATGACAAGGGTATCATAAAAATAAATAACATGACCGTCATTTTCATTATGACCGTGACATGACATTGTCATAAAATTTGCTTACATCCCTACACATAGGCCAGACCTCGTCTCAAAGTGTGGTAGTGGCGGTGGACAGAATTTTCACCGGTTCAACGAGACTCGACGGTGATGCCATAGTGGACTTCGTTAGAGCGCTATGCCAAGTTTCTTTGGACGAGTTGGCTCACCCCGGACATCCGAGAATGTTCTCCCTCCAGAAAATCGTCGAGATTTCCTACTACAACATGGGCAGAATTCGTCTGCAATGGTCGAGAATTTGGCAGGTGCTCGGCGAACATTTCAACGCAGTCGGCAGCAACCCCAACGAAGACATTTGCTTCTTCGCCGTCGACAGTCTCCGGCAACTATCGATGAAGTTCATCGAGAAAGGCGAGTTTTCGAACTTCAGATTCCAAAAAGATTTCCTCCGTCCGTTCGAGCATATCATGAAGAAGAGCGTGTCGCCCACCATAAGGGACATGGTGGTGAGGTGCGTGTAGGGTTGGGACGGTTGAAATTTTCAAATGAAAGTTTCAAACTTGAAATATTTCATTTAGTTGGAAAAGTGAAATTTTAAAAAATTTCAAATGAAATTTTCAATTCGAAAATTTCAACATTGCCTGTGAAACTTTCAGAAATTTCATTGAAAGTTTCGCAATTTACTGAAAATTTCGCATAAATTTCACATGCGGCCTCCCCTGGGACCTTTAATAATAATTTACAACAGATTCCGAAAAGACCAATAAGAACGAGTTATCAAGCGTCTGGGCGTTTTTGTTTAGTTCGGCTTTTACTTATATGCATAAATTAATTTAAATAATTTAATTCAGTTACCAATTTAATTTGTAAATTAAATCAGACATTAAAATTTTTCTAAAAGTCATGATTAATTAAAACTTTTACTTTTACTATAATTGCATCGGAAAACGGATAAAAAATGCCTTTGCCTCATAAAATTTTGATGAAGTTTCTTCAATTTTTGTAAAATTTCAGTAAAATATATAAAAATAATAAATATATATAAATATAAAACAATGAAAGTGGCACAATCTCATTAGCTTACCAAAAAGTGCTATATCTCTCTTAGTTTTAGTAATTTTAAAAATATTTTAAAAGGAAATCTCAAGAAATTTGTGGTAAACATAGGTATTTACTATTTATATTATTGGTGCAGGGGCCCACAGAGAGGTAGGAGGTAAGAGAGGCAATTTGTCATGGTCACCGAGTGGACTTATTTCAATATTAATATATTACACTTAAGTGATTGAAATTTCAGGGCTCCTACACCTCCTAAAATTCATAAAATTCCTAAAATTTGGCTTATATCTTAAAAACTCCTAAAATTGCCATCAATCTCCTAAAACGCCTAAAAATTAAATATAAGTAGGCCAACTTGACTGCGTTTAATTAAGGTAGTTTTGCTAAAAAATTTCTTTTTTAAAAAATTCTAGTTTCTAGTTCTAGTTTATTAAATTCTTTTTGAAATGATATAGGTATCACAACCTACATTTTTCTTAAAAAACAACAAAATATACCATAAAACAAAATCCATGTAGTAGCTTCTAGACTTTTACAAAATTGTCATTTTTAGCCATATTTCGTTAATTTTCGACAAAAATATACCGTGTTATACCCGGTGTATCAAACAAAAGGATTTTTAATTTTCTTTTAAATGATAGCTAAAACAGTAAACAATCTAAAGAATGTTGTAACAATAACATTACAATTATTGTTAGTTATTAACTAAACTGTTAATTTTTTTTTTCAAAATATAAATATAACATCATTAAACTTTGGCCTACTTTTTTAGCCATATCTATCGACGCTTTTTTCTTAAATAAAATTAAAAGTGTGGTGAAATTTCTACTTGTAGATATGTATATACAAAAGTAGTAATTTTACCTCACTTTTCATTTTATTAAAAAAAAACTCGTCGAGCGATTTGGCTAAAAAACTAGTCAATATAACATAATTGTACAAAAGAAGTGATATTTATTTATATTTTTGTTAAAAAGAATTACTTATTTTTTTCTTATTTTTTAAGTATAGTGTAGAGTTGTTTTTATTTAATTGAATACAGGGTGTTTCATAATATATGCGCAGGGCTTCAGGATGTGATAACTCATCCAAAAAGATGAAAAAAGTCGCTAATAACTTACGCTCTAAAATGCACAATTTTCGAGATACAGGGTGTTGAAATTTTAGAAAAAAATTTGTTTTTTTCGAATATCTCCGGAACCGTTTATCGTACAAAAAACAGCTTTTGTAAGCATTTTCTACTCAAAATAAGCTATGTTTTGTGCCAGAAAAAAATTTTTTCCCTCATAATTGGTGGAGCTTTTGAAGGGGTAGCGGGTGTTTTTCTCCTCAACTTCTACGCCCCTGAAAAATGTACGGTTTTGAGAGGCCTATTCGAACCGCCAATGTTTTCTACACAAAAAAGGTACTCTTGGTCATAAGCTCTAAAGTTGACCGTTTTCGAGAAAAATCAACTTTTATGTTTAAAAACATGGTCAATTTAAAAAAAAATATTTTTTTTTTACTAATTAAACAAAATTTATTTTAACGTTAGAACAAGTAACAAAACCAAACCATTATTGCAAAATAAAAAATGATTCAAAAGTTGTCTTTGCTAAATTCTCCAAACCGTAAAGGTAACGCATTTCGAACATTTGAGCATTTGTGTAAAAAATCATTTTTTATTTTTTTTTAAATTTTGCAATTATTGTTTGGTTTTGTTACTTTTTCTAACGTTAAAATAAATTTTGTTTAATTAGTAATAAAATTAAAAAAAAAAAAAATTGACCATGTTTTTAAACATAAAAGTTGATTTTTCTCGAAAACGGTCAACTTTAGAGCTTATGACCAAGAGTACCTTTTTTGTGTAGAAAACATTGGCGGTTCGAATGGGCCTCTCAAAACCGTACTTTTTTCAGGGGCGTTGAAGTTGAGGAGAAAAACACCCGCTACCCCTTCAAAATCTCCATCAATTATGAGTAAAAAAAATTTTCTGGCACAAAACATAGCTTATTATGAGTAGAAAATTCTTACAAAAGCTGTTTTTTGTACGACAAACGGTTCCAGAGATAATCGAAAAAAACGATTTTTTTTCTAAAATTTCAACACCCTGTATCTCGAAAATTGTGCATTTTAGAGGGTAAGTTAATAGCGACTTTTTTCATCTTTTTAGATGAGCTATCACATCCTGAAGTCCTGCGCATATATTATGAAACACCCTGTATATTCATTTGCATAATTTTTTCTCCTAAAATTCTCCAAAAAACCTCCTAAATTCCTAAATAAAATTTGTAATTTAACCGTGGGAGCCCTGAAATTTATTGAAAGTTTCAATAAATTTCGTAAATTTCATGAAATTTCAGACATTTAGGAAATTGTAATAAATGTCGCGAAAATTTCAAGTGAAATTTCAAGTACAAGCAAAAAGTGAAATTTTCCCAACCGTAGGTGCGTGGCCCAGATGGTCAACTCGCAAGCCAACAACATCAAGTCGGGTTGGAAGAACATTTTCTCGGTGTTCCACCTGGCCGCGTCGGATCGAGAGGAGGCCATAGTGGAACTGGCCTTCCAAACGACGGGAAAGATCATCACGGATCTCTACGCGAAGCAGTTCGCCGCGATGATAGACTCCTTCCAGGACGCCGTCAAGTGCCTGTCGGAGTTCGCGTGCAACGCCCGCTTCCCCGACACCAGCATGGAGGCGATCCGATTGGTGCGCTCGTGCGCGCACAGCGTCAGCCAATCGCCGCAGCTGTTCGCGGACCACGCGGGCATGGAGAACGACGTGGCGGTGGCCGAGGCGGATCGAGTCTGGGTGCGCGGCTGGTTCCCGCTTCTGTTCTCGCTCTCGTGCGTCGTGAACCGATGCAAGCTCGACGTGAGGACTCGCGCCCTCACCGTCCTCTTCGAGATAATCAAAACTTACGGGGACTCGTTCCATCCGAACTGGTGGAAGGATCTTTTCAAGGTGCTGTTCAGGATTTTCGATAACATGAAGTTGCCCGAGAAGCAAACGGAGAAAGCCGAGTGGATGACCACTACCTGCAACCACGCCCTCTACGCCATCGTGGATGTTTTCACGCAGTACTTTGACGTTTTGGGGCCGTTGTTGCTAGAGGAGTTTTATTCAAGGGTAAGTTTACATCCCAAAATAAACTATTATCAAGGATATAAAAATAATACAGGGTGTTATATATTAAAATACTGAATACCTTTTGACATAAGGAATAAAGGAAAATATTAAAAAAAAATGTTTTCCAAAGATAAAGAAAAAATATGCATTAGAAGTTTTTTATATTTTTTGTGATACGCCACTGGTTACACACTTGGTTTATCTCTGCACAATTGTATTCTGTGAGTACATAGATACCAACCAACAAAGTAGCTACATGTTGCCAGATGTAAAAAATTGTTACTAAAAATTTTTCTTGCAAAAAATAAATAAAAACACAATAAATACAAAAGTTTACTGTTTTCTGTTTACTCAGATGAAATTGGGACCAGTTCACAGGTTAAACTTTAAACATTTAATTTGTGTAAATAAATTCAAAAGCACTTTCCCTTAGTTAAGATATATACAATTTGAGCACATAACTCAAAATTTGAAAGAAATGCACTAGATTCAGTACAAAAATGACATAACCAACAATTAATAAAAACGCCAAATTGACAATTTGCATTGTTAATTTTGTCATTTTTGTAATTAAGCTAAATTTAAACAACTTTTTTGAGAGATTTTGAAAACACTGTTGTTACCAACCATAACATAATAAATCCACCAGATTAGCCTAAAGTTCCTAGTCGATCAGTGGCGTACTTTTTGGTAGGATAAAGGTTATTATAAATTATTTTTAGACTTTGTAATTTAGAAAAAAAAAGTTTCAGGTGCTTCTTTATGGACCCTAAGGAACAACCCATTTTAATATATAACATTAATTACATAACAGTGTTATGATAACACCCTGTATAAGGTTTGTTCCTATGAAAATATGGTCGCGTTTTAACTTTTAATTGACAGTCCAAATGCTCGGTAGGAACAAGGTTATAACTGACTGGTTTGTCTCTTAAATATTTTTAAAATGAAATAAAATACGTTGTATTTTTTCATCCCGATCTTTTATTGAAAGTTAGAAAAAAATAATATCCGCCTCTAAAAGCCACACAAACCTAAGCCATCTTAATTACATTTTCACTGACTTTTTGGCAGGTTTAGGGGGGAATATTTTCAATAGCTACCTGAATATTTTCCTTTAGCTGCTCTAAATTGTTTGGTTTGTTGGCATAAACTTTATTTTTCAGGTTTATGTCAACAAACCAAACATATTTAAGAGACAAATCTTGCCATAATATTAGGAACAGTAGCAATTTCTTCCATTTTCAAAGTTTGGATGGATTAGTGAGAAAGACAACTGACCCTTTTTGTGTAGAGCTGGAAGTATCTTAAAAAAAAGATACTTAAGTAATTTAGATACCACAATCCACACAACTATCTCGTTTTGCGCAAACTAAAAATCACGAAGTTAGGCAACCCACTGCACAGAGAGTCTGTGCCGCGGCGGTCATTTTTATGTTGTTTACAATTCTTGTGCTGTGGGTTTGTGCTGTTTATACAGATTAAAATCGGTTTTAACGTTGTGTTTCCTACAGAGGTACTTGTAAGCCTCAAATGAGTACCATGTACTATTAATTTAATTTTATTTCAATGTTTTTTCATGGAACTTGACAGACAATTTTTTTGTAGTTATTATTGTGCATTTTTCTACTTTCTATTTAAAATTTAGTAAAGGGTAGTTTTGAGGTTGCTGAATCCAATGCCGTGCTTAGATTTTGTTTAAAAAAAATCGCTAATATGAATTCTTAAAAATTTTCTCTTAAAAACTGACATAGTAGGCCTTTTTGAACAAATATGGCGTTTTTTGTTCCAAAAATGCAGTTTATCAAGATCTACACTTAAAAAAAAAATCCGGTTAAAATTGCACAATAAATAAATATTTTACATGGGAGAGTCGCAAACAAATGGGTCACATTGTACATGGAATGTTCCATTGAAAAAAAAATAACATTTCTCACGGGGTATAAAAATTACTAAAATATAAAAATGTATAAAAATATAGCAATTATACAAAATAAAAAAGTCAAGAAAGTAGCTATTTTTCTCACTAAATCCATCCTTTGAAATTGGAAAAAACAACCGCAATTTGGACCACAGCTTAACAACTTTTCTAGGGTAATTAGGGTGCGTTTATTCAAAAAATGGTTATCATTTTGCTCAATTAGCTTTGGTTTTTTATGACATGCAAATTTTAAAATTCGTATATTTTGTTAATCAAATACTTTAACCAAGGATTATTGGTAATTTAGCTATGGGTCCTAATTAAATTAATAAGTTCCCATAGCTTTATTACCAATGATCCTCTGTTAAATATTTGATTAACAAAATAAATATACGAATTTTTAATAATATTAAAAATTCGTATATTTATTTTGTTAATCAAATATTTAACAGAGGATCATTGGTATATATTATATTGCAAACAAATCTAATTAAGCAACATTTTTGGATTCAGCTTAACCAAATTAGGGGCCGTTCATTAATTACGTGAGACAATTTTGGCGATTTTTTGACCCCCCCCCTCCCCTTGGTGAGATGTCGTGAGATTTTGCTCGACCCCCTCTCCCCCCCTTAATCTCACGTGAGATTTTTTAAAATGCATGGTTTTAATGTAAATAAGTTAATCTGTGCTTGATTCCATTAGATTTATAAAAAAAAACAATTTGCTTATAATTGTTTACTTAATTTAACCCAGTTTTCTCGCAATTTTACACTCTTTCTTTCGGAAAAAAAAATTACGTGATATTTGCCAAGACCCCCCCCTCCCCCCACGTGAGATTTGGTGAGGTTTGTCTCGACCCCCTCCCCCCCCTAAACACCTCACGTAATTAATGAACGGCCCCTTACTATAGAAAAGTTATTGGCCACACTGTGGCAAACAAAAAATTTAATTTTGTCAAACATTCTAATAGTGCAACCCACTGTTATAAAGTATAAACTTGTGATCTTGATTTTTTTTTAATTGGCATTAGATAAATATTAATTAATTTGTAGCTTCACTGGTGTGTACAACAAGATAACGAGCAATTAGCAAGATCTGGAACTAATTGTTTGGAAAATTTGGTCAACTCAAACGGTCAAAAGTTCGACGAGGAAACATGGGAAAAAACCTGCCAATGCATGTTGGATATTTTCGATTCAACGATACCAAACGCTTTGTTAACATGGAAACCCGACTCCATGAAAACTGTGGCCATAATCGAGCAAAATGGGGATGTGAACCCCAACAAAGGTAATGCAAATTAATAATACGCATAATACTATAATTTCATTAAACCCTTTTCTCAGGTATTTTAAAACGTCCAAGCATCCAAGACAACTCAAATCCGGATTCATGTCTCTTCAACGGCTTGACAATCAAGTGTGCCGTTCAATTGGAACTCATACAAACCATAGACAACATTGTTTTTTATCCGGCAACGTCGCGGAAAGAAGACGCCGAAACTTTGGCGCTGGCTGCGGCCGATATGGCCGGTAATGGCGGACTAGCCGAGTGTCAACGCGAAGAACAAGGGATGTACCGGTTACTGACGTCACCCCATCTTATGCAGCTCGCAGAGTGTTTACTGCAATCGCATCGGTAAGATAAAAAATTAATATTATTAATATTTTGGATTTTTTCTTACAAATTTTAAGAATTAGGTTTAGTGAATTCACTATCCCAGGTTTACTATTCGCATTGGGCAAAGGGGCGGAACCTATTGCTTCGAGACTAGCATCGCAAAGAGCGGCGACATTAAGCAATTTTAAATAAATAATAATAAATGGTCTTTATTATATAATGGGTTTTTAACATATTAATGTTATTTTAACAACAAGTATATCATTTTATACCAAAAAAAATTGTTTAATAATAATTGTAATAATAGTCGTCGTTAAATAGTATTTCCAAGTTGGAAATTCCAACATTGTTTTTTGCGGATTACCGTTTCTTGCTATTTCTGCTCTTGTCATACAGAATTCCAAAAGAATTTCAGAGGACTTGTTCCTTTCTCCATATCTGGCTAAGTTTTGGATTCTGTCCAATATAGGTGTTATTCCTGTTTTTTTGATTTTGGTAATTTTTCTTAGGGAGGATGTTTCTGCAACTTGAATGTTTTTTAAAGTGGGAGTTTTGCAATTGAGGAATAATGGAAACCCATACTTAGAGATGTAAAAAACGGTTTTTTTTCAGATGTGAAAAAAAGACATGAAAAAAAAAACGGTTTTTTTTGTTTTTTTTCAAAATGAAATTTTGAGTAAAATGTAGAATATATTACATTTTTCAGTATTGAAAATTTTGACCAAGACTAAAAAATCTGATTTATTATTATTTGGTAGTTTCCACATTAAAAACCAATAGCAATGTAAAACTTCTAGTGTAACACTAATACAAAAAATTAAAGGATACATTTTTTTTGCGATTTTTGGAGCCGTAAAAAAAAGCAATTTGAAGCTTGAAGTTTATAGTTTTGAGATTTTTAGATGAAAAACGTGCAACGCTCAATTCTAACGAATACCGTAATACAAAAAATCGATTGAAAAAAAAAATTTCCATACTCTACATAAATTTGAAAAATCATGAAAAAGTGCTTTTGGTAGCTTTTTGAAAAATCAAGCGCTGAATCAAAAATTATATGTAGTTACTTTTTTTAGGACCAAATCAAAACAAGCGCGGCCCTTATTGGTCAAATCGGTGGTTGTGGCGAGTGCATAACGCGAGACTGTATTTACATTTAATAATGGTCATTTAGTGGCTAATTTTAGTCCATGGAAACATAAAAAATTAGGTAAATGGGACTAATCTTGAAAAAAAAACCTAAAATGTGAAAAAAACCATTTGAAAAAAACAATGAAAAAAAACAAAAAAAACGGACCGTTTTTTTTCAAGTCGCATCTCTACCCATACTTAATGACAGGTCCACAATCCACACAATTGTGGACAGGTCTATATATAAGTTGGTATATTGGTTGTTTTTATTCCAAGGTTGTTAACCCTTAATCCGGAGAAGTGTTTTGCCCTTGATATTGCTTTTTTTTTGTTATTTGTGTGTGGAGTTTAAGGTTTATTTTGTGATCTTAGAGTATACCAAGGTAATTGGTGGAGTTTTCTGGGCAATTTTAAATTTAAAAGAATAAAAGATTGTTCCAGTTTTATTTAACTTTTTTTTGTTAAACGTAAAAAGTTTAAAGGAATCAGAGGAAAAACGTCGTGTAGAGAAGTTTCTTAATACCAAAGGAAATTCGCCCAACATTACGTTTTACAACATTGTCCAGTTTTTTGTTTCAAATTTATACATTCACTTCTAAAGATTTAAAATTTACGAAAAATTGATTTCCTGAAAAAAAAAGTTTTGGGAAAAATTAATCTTTTGTTATAAACCTGAGAAAATTATCAAAATAAAGTGTTAAATTATAGTATTTCAAATATTATTTAAACATTATTTCACGACTAGCTTTTCGGTAAATCCCATAGACATATTAGGATTTGGTTATTTAATATTTTAAAATGAAATAAATACATTTAGATATTGTTTTTTATTTTAACTAAATTAGCGATATTGCAAAAATGTATTTATTTAATTTTCATTTACATATTACATTATGTGGCCAAGTCTCCTTATATGTATAGGTATCTTTTTTATTTGACTATTTCCCTCGTCTTAATTTCCACCAATCACAAACGCGCAATTTTGAATTACAAATGGTTTCTAGGTGAAAAAACTGTGTGACAGCACCTGTCAGCAGTTTATTCGAGTTTACCCGCGGCAAAACTTGACAGCTGTTGTCACCAAAAATTGCAATTTATATTTTAATTGTTAACTGTTACTCATGAAATAGTCTTGTCAAATACCATTCGGGCATCTAATTTTTCCTGTGAAAAAAATCGAAAAAACACAATGCTAAGTAATATTTTTTAACAAAAAGCATTCGTGCAGGTTCAAAAATCCTCCTCTTCGACTCGGATTTTTGTTGCCACCAGCACTCATGCTTTTTGTTAAAATATTACTTAGCAACGTGTTTTTTCGATTCTTTTCGGAAAAATTAAATGCCCTTATGATATTACTTACGGGTAATTCCATTTATTAGCCACCAATGAGTGCACCTCGTATACTCTAATTTTATTTCTTTTTTAACTGTAAATAGACATGGACCCAAGAAGTGAAAAAAACTCCCCTTTTCTTTTCTCCCCCTATCACCTATTTATACAGGGCTACGCAAAAGTTACTATGCAGGCCTAACTTTAAAAAATTGTACTTTTTTTGCTAATAAAGCTATCGACATTAAACAAACTGTTAATTGTTAAGAAAATATTTCTCTTTTAAACCATATAGGACACATTTAGTTATTGATGCCCTAAATGGTCTTTGGGAATTTTTTTAAAAATGCAATTTTTTGGCAAAATTCTCTAATTTTATAAATTCATGTATTCTTAGAACAACTTGCCAGCAAAATTTTTTTAATGTAGTTTGTTACCATAGATCTTACTCTATATAAAAGCAATGAAAACATTGTCAAATAATATTGGCTAAGAGTTCAAAAAAATATAATAAAAATCTATGTTTTCGAAAAATCACTATTTTCAGCCATTTCATGGTTTAAAAAGGCTATGTTTGAGTGAGTCGATTTAAACCAATTTATGCTTATCATCACATGCACTTATTAGCCTCCAATAACCATTAATAAAATTATTGTGTATTTTGCTTTTAACTGGGCTGTGGCTATATGTACAGCCCAGCTATAAGCAAAATACACAATATGCCCACCTGACTTTAAGCCATTTCATGGTTTAAAAAGGCTATGTTTGAGTGAGTCGATTTAAACCAATTTATGCTTATCATCACAGGCACTTATTGGTCTCCAATAATCATGAATAAAATTATTATGTATTTTTCTTTTAGCTGGGCTGTGGATGTATATGTCCACCTGTGATTATATCCATATTATTAACCATAAATTTTTTTCACTTCTTAGGTCCATGTCTATTTACAGTTAAAAAAGAAATAAAATTAGAGTATATGAGGTGCACTCATTGGTGGCTAATAAATGGAATTACCCTTACTAAAAACTACAAGGTCTGTCCATTTAAATTTTTTAAAAATCAGCGGTTCTCAAATAATTTTTAACATTCCTGGGAATTTTGAAAAAAAAATAACTTTCACATGTGTTACATACTACTAAGTTGCTGACCTGTTAATAAAATAATTCTTATCTGCTGACATATGTTTTTATAAAAGACTATTGTACTTGATTTCATATTCATTCTATATTTACCTAGCCTTGTGTAAACTAGCTTTTAAGCTGGTAATTTTTAATTTTAACAATTAATTTTTAATATAAAATTAATAAAAAATGTTATTAGTATTATTGATTTAAGTTATTTAATTCATGTAAACATACACATTTATATACATTTTCATCCAAATTGTAATTTTTGCCTACTAGATTTTCCTATTCCCGCCATATTGGTATTTTACATGGTTATATAGAAAACATACTACATAAGTTATGACGACCTTTATAAAAATAAAAGAAAGTGATGGTAAACATTTTTTTAATTTTATTTTAATAGGCTTATACTTACGCAACTTTTCTCTGATATAACCGACCTTGTAGCTCTTTAATTGAAAAAACTGGTTAAAAAAGCATCTTTTTTGGCAAAAAATAAATGTTTGAGTTGCAAATTAATTAAATGACATAATTTTATAGCGGTTGAAATCCTTAACAAAAAATACACAATATTTTGTGATAGTCTAATATTTTCTCTGTTAACCTCGAAAAAAGTGAATTTTTACATAATTTTTACTTTAACCATGAATAACTTGAAAGTTTAGATGTCAAAAAACTAAAGAAGACCTTTTTTGTAAAGAATTACAATCTCTACGAAACTATGTATCAGACATTCATGCACAATGGAAAATTGCATTTAGGAATTACCAATAGTATAATATTATACGAGAGATAATGCAAGCTATTATTCACGAGGATGAGGTTTGCATCTCGAGTCGTCAGACAATAGACTCAAATCATCCGAGTGAATAATGCGCATAATCTCGAGTGTAATACTATTCTTTATCTACTCCAATACGTAGATAATTAAATGATTTTAAATATTAAATAAATAAAATCTGACATCTGTCAGATGGTTAACCTTACTTTTTACCAATTTTAAATTTAATTATAGTCGCCTTCTTCCAATTTAAAACCTAATTGGTTCAAATCACAGTAAATATTGAAATCGGCCAACCGCTGATGCCTAACAACGTAAATATTGAGTTTATTATTCACGTTGTTAGGCAGTGAATTTATAATGTTTATAAATATTCACAGAAAAAAAACAAAATTATGCAAAATATTATTATTTAGGGCTAAACTACTAAATATTAATATTAAGGGGTCAACCTTTTTCTACAACTATTAAACAAAAAAGATGGGTCGACTTTTTTGAACCAGTCTAATGTATACACATAGATGCATTCTGTATTTGTTCAGGTTTTCGTTATTGCTTCGATAATACGTCAATTTTTTTTTTCAAATTTTTTTAAATCAATCAAAAAAATGTTTTTTAATTTTTACCGTTGTTTTTCGAACATTTTGAATGATATGCTTGTACTAAAAGCTAAGAAAAATGCACTGGACCTAAAAAATCATCACTCCCTTTGTCATAGCAAGGAATGATTTTTCGTTAGTTTTAAAAATGTAACATTTAACTGTAACTGTTAATTTATATTTTAGATTTGCAAAGGCGTTCAACCTAAACCACGACCAAAGAAATCTACTTTGGAAAGCGGGGTACAAAGGATCAATAAAACCGAACCTGCTAAAGCAAGAAACGCAAAGTTTGGCCTGTTTGTTGAGGATTTTATTTAAAATGTACGGCGACGAAAGCCGCGAACAACACTGGCCATCCATCGAAACTAAACTAATAGCCGTGTGCCAAGAAGCGTTGGATTATTTCTTGAAGCTGCAAAGCGAGTCCCACAGGGAAGCCTGGACTTCTTTGTTGCTGTTGGTCTTGACTAGGTTGCTGAAAATGACTGATAAAAGGGTAAGTCAACATTTAAAAAATACTGAATTTAATTTTTTTTATTTTCAACAATGTTTATTAAGTTCATATGAGCTCAAGTAAGGAGCTACTTTGCAAAATGCAGTTTTTGAAAAAAATTAATATGGTTTTGATGGTACGGTACCATCAAAACCATATTAATTTTTTTTTCAAAAACTGCATTTTACCGTCGGTACCAGTTATAAAACTGTTTTTTTAAACTATGATACAGTGTTATATTTAATAAATAAATAAAAATAAATATTAAAATATTAGAAAGATATTCACTTAAAGATGTGTTGTCTGATTTAACGGGTAAAAGCATGAAAAATACGGGTTTTAGATTTGTTGTTATAACACAGCAAACGGAAAAATATAGAACTCCTATAGGATGACTCCGCGTTTGAATATTAAATCTTAGTTTTATCAGAACTGTATTGAATCGTGCTTTGTTTTTATATTTTTCGGCTCTATACCTATGCACGACTATATTTAAAGTCAAACTCAATGGTGTCTTACAAGATACATTGTTTTGATTTTCTATATTCAACAGCTCTCTAGAGAGGTAGAAACTCGACCCTGTCGAATGGTGCAGTCATTTATGTCTCTAGAAATTATTAAAAAAGGGTTCAGTCCAATGGTGCAGCAACTTCGGATTCCTATTCTCTTCAGAGACATAGAAACTCAAGCTTTTCGAATTTTACTGGCAATGATTTTCGCTAATGTCAGCGCAAGGCAATATCGCAACGGTTTCGACTTCTCTTTACTCTACCAAGTTATAGAAACTGGAGTCTCTCTAATACTATTCTAGTCAATATTTCTGAGAGTATAAAAAGAGGGTGTAATATTGCAAGAAGTTTTGATCTTTTGATGGATGCAAGTAGTTTGAATTTTCTCATTTCTGCATATGATTTTGTTGAAAATAGTTCCTTTCTTTGGTTCCTTTGTCTGATTTTTATTTACCGTAACAACAACAACAGGGTATGTAAAGCACAGAGGATATGATGTTAAGTATATTTATGTATTATATAAAGTACCTATATTTGTATTAAAAATTTCAGAGGTTATGTTGAAAAAATGATTGATATGCTAAGTATTAAACTTTAATAATTTAGTAATGAAGTCTGTTGGTAGACCCTGCACTATCTCCACTGGTATATGTTAGTACAACAATATTTAAATCTGGTTGATGAAAAAGTACACACCACTGCAGGTTATTGTAGCATCTACGAACAAATGAATTAATGGCCCATTGGCAATTATTCCTTTAGGAAAAATATTCAACACAGCTTAATTAATTATAAAATGAAAAAAATCACAATAATGTCGTATATAGTTTTTTTTAAGCATAAAATAATTTTTATATTAATACTAGTTCAAAAGTGAAATTACGACCTCTATACTGTGGAGAGTATTGAAACGCTCGACTGACGAATATAAATCTATACCGTGGGGAGATTTAGAAAACCATATTCAAACGTGGCGTCATCCTATACACTTCTATAATTTTTCGTTTGCTGTGAAGGGATATTGCGTTGTTATTGGGCATGCGAAAATTCCCAGAACTAACAAGAACTGCTTGATCAAACGAACCTCAAATAAGCTTACTAACATTTTTTGTTTAGTTTAAGGTCCACGTTTCCCGCTACTACCCCCTATTATGCGAGATCGTTTGTTTTGACTTAAAAGCGGAACTAAGATCGATCTTGCGAAGAGTCTTCCTGAGGATCGGGCCCGTCTTTCAGATAACCACCACGTAGTATAAAAAATAATGAATAATACAAGTATAGATTACCTCTCAGCTCCACGTATGTAAATAGCGGCTAGTTATATATTTCTACATTATGATAGACAAGACATTTTATACCGGTGCAAGTACAAATTGTGAGTAAACTAACCAGTAATTATTTGGTTCTTGTTAATTTTTTGTACATTGTATTTAGAATGCTAAAATTCTAACAGTTTATTTATCATGTGTGTTTCAAAATTTGCTTTTGGTATGCAATTTTCTGGTGTGTATGTATATATACGTAGGAATTCATTAGTAATCATTCCGTACTAAGTGATATGAAAATAAATTAATTTAAGGTTAAAATTAAGCAAATGTTATGTGCCTTGAAATGTTGATTTTTATTAAAAAGTATTTATTTAAACTCACTATTAATTACTTAGTACATTGTTTTTATGACATCTTATTGTCTAGGTATGTTGTAAATAATACTTTTTAAGGAAAACCGTTTTACTGGGAGTCCTTTACTTTTTTGTTTATACCCAATATCAGTCATTTATATTTAGCAAATATTTCATATAAATATATTGTTTTATTTGATAGTATCAATAATAAAATAATAATTATTAAAAAGTGTTTTATTACTTATTTATTAAGGCCCCACAAATGGAAAACATGGTTTAAAATTATTTTAATCCTAATAACAAATTTCGTTGTTCATTTAACAGGGCTCCCACGGTTAAATTACAAATTTTATTTAGGAATTTAGGAGGTTTTTTGGAGAATTTTAGGAGAATTTTAGGAGAAAAAAGTATGCAAATGAATTTATTTAATTAAATAAAAACAACTTTACACTATACTTAAAAAATAAGAAAAAAATTCTTTTTAACAAAAATATAAATAAATATCACTACAAATAGGTTATATTGACTAGTTTTTTAGCCAAATCGCTCGACGAGTTTTTTTTATAATAAAATGAAAAGTGAGGTAAAATTACTACTTTTGTATATGTCTGCAAGTAAAAATTTCACCCCACTTTTAATTTTATTTAAAAAAAAGCGTCGATAGATATGGCTAAAAAAGTAGGCCAAAGTTTAATGATGTTATATTTATATTTTGAAGAAAAAAAATTAACAGTTTAGTTAATAACTAACAATAATCGTAATGTTATTGTTACTAAAAAATCTCATAATAGAAAAAATATAAAGTGCATGATTAAAGCAAAACATTCTTTAGATTGTTTACTATTTTAGCTATCATTTAAAAAAAAATTAAAAATCCTTTTGTTTGATATATAACACGGTATATTTTTGTTGAAAATTTACGAAATATGGCTAAAAATGACAATTTTGTAGAAGTCTAGAAGCTATTACGTGGATTTTGTTTTATGGTATATTTTGTTGTTTTTTAAGAAAAATGTAGGTTGTGATACCTATATCATTTTAAAAAGAATTTAATAAACTAGAACCCAAAAATATATAAGAAAAAATTGAACCTACACCTAGCCAAAGTTTTTTGTTTTGAATGCGTTCCACCAACTTCAAATACCGACAGACAGCTGTTTCGACCTTTATTGGGTCTCATCAGTGTCGGGCAACTTGGTGTAGTGGAACACAATCAAAACAAATTACTCCCTGAGCTTATATGCTCGGTTGTTAAGTCAACAGAGGCGAGATGTAAGAACATCAGGTGATCCACACCGTCAAACGACGTGGCCTTTGCCGCAATCAATTTTTTTATGAATATTACCAGTGATGGGTCAAGAAAGTTTCTTAAAGAAACTAAGAAAATTGAATGTTTACCAAAAATATATATTTTTTAAATTACTTTTTAAAAAAGAAATTTTTTAGCACAACTACCTTAATTAAACCGAGTAAAGTTGGCCTACTTATATTTAATTTTTAGGAGTTTTAGGAGATTGATGGCAATTTTAGGAGTTTTTAAGATTTAAGCCAAATTTTAGGAATTTTATGAATTTTAGGAGGTGTGGGAGCCCTGATTTAAAGCGTACTTATTCGTGAAATTTCTAATTTAATTGTGTATAAAAATATTATGAATTGAATTGAACTTAACTCTAATAATACAAATATAAAAATTCTTTGGTATATACTTAAAGTTTAAACACGGCATTGTAAAATTTAGCACCATATTTAGAATAATATAATATAAATTTTTACAAAACTAAGATATGGCGATGGAAGGCATAAGGTAAAAAACAACAAAAACAAACATAATCTACGCTTTGGTACCGCTGAACCTTCTTTGTGGCGGCTTGGTGGTCTTTTTCCCCACCGACGGTCTTCTCCCGGAACTAATCGAAGAAGAACTTCGCGAAGACCGGAAGGAAGACCGCATCGCTTTCTCCAATTTGTAGTTCCGGTCAGCCGCAATGATCATCATTTGTTCTCTTGTACTAAGGCTAAAGAACAAGTCGTGGAAGGCATAGCAAGCTGCACTAACCTAAATAAATAACAAAAAACTGTTTTGTTAAAAGAACAACTATTATATGGGTGATTCTATAAAAGTTGGGCAAATTTTGACCTCATTTTGTTTATATAGTTTTCGGAGAAAATTAATCAGTATTTTGTTATGAGAACATAGGTAATATAATAAATATACTGTTCCAGACCAGGCCAGTCACTTTTTAAAACAGAAATATCTGTGTTTTCTAAATTTGAATGCAAGGGAAGTGATGAGTATAAGATTATAAGATTTATTACAACTTTGAGCATATTATACATTAAATATCTTAAAATAAAATAATACCACACATCAGTGGTGGCTGGTGGATTTTGGGTATACGGATATCTCAATTATTAGATATGGGACCCACACCAAATTTATATGAGTTTATAATGACATTAAATAAACAAGTTCTGCGCAAGCAGAATTTAAATTGAACTTTGCGAAAAAAAGATAACCGAAACATCGAACATGGAACTGACGACACGGTACTGATGAATGGGATAAAAATTTGAGATTATAATTCGGAATTAAGAATTTTACTGATATTTTTTATTAGTGGATGCTATAGCATATATGTGATTTGTTGATAAGTATACTTATCAACAAATCACATATAGCCTTAATAAATTACAATAAAATATATATACGTTAGAAAATAACTCACCACAGTACTGAAATTTTGACTGGAACTATACGTGCATTCACCACAACTTCGCCGCTTGCATTGTTTTCAAGATGACTGTCGTGCAAAGGGCAGGCTCTGTAGGTAATTTTTTTACCAACACTTGAGTTAAAACAAGGACTTGACGTTTAAACTTCAATATTTCGCAGGAATTTTGAATTTTAACATTGGACACAAAAGTGAGTACAAAGAATATCAATTTTTTTAAAATTGTTATTATTCAAATTTATGATAAAATATGAAGAATACATTATTTAATGTTTTATAGTTTGTAGTGAAATTGAAAAATTTAAGATAAATTGAATATATTATAAAATAAAATCACTCAAATATTTGATTCAGGAGTTGACATGCCAAGGTACTGATGTTTTGAATATTTATTATGTTTTTCTACAAACGTGCTTTTGAAAAAATACATTAAAATTGGGTGGACAAGTTAAAAAACCTGGATCTTTTGTAATATACTAAAATATTTACAAAAAATATTTTAATACCTACTCTATTGACTGATGACATCAAGTTGTCCAACTTTTGTAGAATCACCCATATATTTTCAGGTTTAAGTACATTATTTTAAATATTTATTTATTTATTCAAAGATAAAGATTCGAAAAACACTAACAAAAACTGTAATTTTTTGGGCATTTTTGTCTATATAGTATATATTTTACCTGTTGGATCAGTCTTCTATGTAACTCGATATCATATTCATCAATATTTTCAGCATTGTGCAACTGCAAGGCACAAAGTAAAGTATCTTTTATGGTATCAATGAGCCCCTGGACTTTGTCTGTTCTATATAATCTCCTCGTTAAGTAACCTTTTGCATGTGCACAAATAATATTGGCGGCCCATTGCTTAAATAAAACAACCTCAAATAATTAAATCCATTAATACAAAATGCAAAAACGACTTCAAATCAATTCAAATCAGAATATTTATTTATTTTAATACAAATACAAATGAACAAAAAACTACTCTTCTACCTCTTTCTTTTCCTTTTCATCCTTTACATCCTGATCATTAATTTTAGGAAATAATTCCCTACTTATGTTGGCAATTCTTAAATCCTCCCTAAAAGATTTTTTATCTGTATTTCCATAATTGCCATCATCCTCCAGATCAATCAACTGTATGGATTCATTGTTATCAATATTTAGTCTTCTTGTGGAACAAGACAGTGTAACAGGATTATCCTTGCTCGGTGTGGAATCCTTAATTCTTAACTCTGTAGAAGCTGTATGTGTCAATTTATTACATTTAACATCAGTTTCATCAAGCAACTGTTTTTTAATATTCTCGTAACATTCAAAACGTTTGATTTGTTCCTCTTTTTGTTTTTCTATTAATTCTAATATCTGCTTAGCATAATCTTCAGGTATATCTTTTAATATTTGCATTAGTTTACTTTCAGTATCATCATTGATGTTTGTTTTTGATGTGCTACCTAAAGTATTATTGGTAGTTTCAATGTTCTTACTTATAGGAGAAACATTGTTAAAAATTTGACTTTTGGGATCTGCATGAACTGTTATTTGTTGAACTATTATATCAGTTTGTAACACCTCTACAGTAGGAGATTTATCTATAGTTATATTTTCTGCTGTTGAAGATCTATCCGTAGTAATATTTTCTATTGTTGTACTGCCTAAAAGTCCATAATTTTTATTATATATAATAATTATATAATATATTATTTCAAACTTAACTGAAATACCTATTTACTTTACATAGTAATTGTTTGTTTTTCTTTATTTTACTACTCTTGTTGACAAATTGAGTTTTATAAATAATTTGTAATGCATAAATATTATTACCTGATAAATTTGACAAAGGGGTCCCAAAAACATCCATACTCAATTCTGATATTTCTTCTTTATAAGGCTTGTAATTGCATTCATTGGAAGCCCAATTTTTAGCACTCAAAAAGCTCGTCTCACTTGTAGTTTCACTCTGTTTTTCCAAATGCGCCAGTAAGCAAGGACTGGGATCTTCTATTGTGTACGAATTGCTCCGTATCAGCCTTGGCCTTGGAGAGCTTAATTCACTTTCCAGTTCAAAATTTTCCGTTTCTTTGGATGCATCTTTAACCACTGTATACCCTTGGTTATTGTATTCTGTTACGTCGACGATATCGAGACTTAAATGCCTCGTTCTGCTTTTAAGATTCTTGTAAGGCACATATTTAACAGTTTCCTCCTCATTTGTAGTGGAAACTGATCGTTCACTGGTTTCTTTGGATGATTTTTTGCTTTTTAGTTTATTTTCCACCTGAATTGCCAGTTCTTTGTACGCCAAAAGCTCTTTTTTTCTATTGGAAGAGATCTAGAACAAACATTGTCTAAATTATATCCAAAAATTCCGTTTATAACCTACCAATGGCGGCAAAATTGGTAGGCCGTTTATTTTAATACATGATACGTATGGTTGGTTGGGTCTCTCCATCATACCTATTTTAGAAAAAACTTTAAAACGCTTAAAATAAAACAACTGACATTCAAACACACAAACGTCACTTTTTAAACAACTGTCACTTTGTTGACATTTGTGGCGACATCTGTTTAAAAAATCTCAAGGTGATAAATGCTTGACCGCAACCACAAAAACATTCCGCATCAGATGTTTTCTGTCAATTGTGAGGTGTTGAAGTGTCAACCAGAATAAAGCAAAATAATTTCAAGATATCCCTAATCTTGGAATGATTTTCAAAATTTATTTAGTCTGTTTACTATTTAGTTTTGTGTGTTCTATTTCCAAACATCCCATATTAATAGTTGTGAGTTATGATGCATTCCGATACAACTATTTTGATACAAAAATGGTACCAAATATGGAAAAGCTAAGAAAAGCTGGGACTTACTCGGATTATTTGATCAATGTATTTCCCACAAAAACATTTCCAAATCACCATTCAATTGCCACAGGGCTCTATCCTGATATTCATGGGGTTATAGGAAATACTTATTATGACCCCAAAGTAAAATCTATTAAGGGAATGAGCTATGAAATGTATCATTATGATGATCATGTTATACCTATTTGGGTAAGTATAATTAATACAGTATGTGAGTGTTTTTATATCAGCAAATCTAAATTTTTGTTAGCCCAGTTGAAATGAATATACCTTTTATTATTGCCCTTATTACTTAGTAGATCTCTATTTCTCAAGGGAACACCTACTTTAATCATTGATTCACTCAACGCTTTAATAGTATATTATAAATTTTAAACATTTTACTGTTGGGTTAAATATTTGCCCCCTGTTGATACATGGCATTGAGTATATCATAATTCACATAATGTGTGGATTTGAGGTGTACAAGGTTTCTCACATTGGTCAAATCAGCTAATTTATAAAGTTAATAACGTAATCCTCACTCAATGGTTTAACAGTCTTTATCTCAGAAACAAAGCAGTAAACAATTTTCTGATGACGTTCTTATTTTAGCGTTGGAATGAAGATATGGAAGATGGAAGATATTCTGCAAGTATGATGTGGCCTGGAGCTGCATATGATTTCCAAAATAAAAATATAACCCATGTTAAGTCATATGATCCCAATTATGATTGGTTCAAAAGAATTGATGATGTAAGTAATAAATTATTAAGAAAGATTAATTACCTAAAAACATTTCTGTAGGTATAACCCAGAGCAAATATTGACCCTGAATATTTTAGTAACCTAGTTTTTTTACAGGTTTAATTACAGTTTTTTATGTGTTTTCTTTAAAAAGGTATTATATTTAGAATTTAACATTTTAAAATAGCAATAATAACTTTATTGCCATTTTAAAATGTTAAAGTTTGAGGCTTTGTTATCTATGGTTTGACAGAATTTTCATGCACTTGCCATTTTTTAGGCTAATTGCAAAAAAATATTTTTTTTCCAATATGAATAGGTCTTGTTAAAAGTAGACAACATATTACAAAAATATTACAATCTGTTAATGCTTAGAGATAATATGACCAATTGGTAAAATGTAGGAATTCAAGAAGAACTATTTTAGGTAATTAATTGGATTAAACACCCTACTGAACCAGCAAATTTAGTTATGGTTTATTTTGAAGAACCAGACACTCATGGTCACGCATTTGGTCCTAATTCAAAGGTTGTATTAGACTTACTGCAAAAATTGGATAATGTCACAAAATACTTGGATGTAAGTGCAAAAAATATTGTTTTTTTCCTACCTAGGAAATGTTACTTTTTGAACCAGATCAGAACCCATTAACATAACATACAAAAAATATATATCTATTTATTTTATGTTTTAGGACCAACTGAAAAAAAATAACCTGGATGACCATGTAAATGTAATCCATTTGAGTGATCATGGCATGATAGCAGTAACACCTCCCAAATTTATAAACATTACCCAATATTTAACCAATGGAACATACCAGTATGCTGGGGCAAGCCCATGCATTCAAATTATACCAAAAGAAGGTAAAATTTGTGTTTTTTGGATAAACTAAATCTAAAAGACCTGTAATTTTTTAGGACACAAAGATGAAATCTATGACAAACTGAAAAAGGCTTCAATAAAAAACAAACATTTCACTGTTTATAAAAAGGAGGAATTTTTCGAGAGATGGCACTACAGCAATGATAGGGCTCCAGAGATTTTAATTATGGCAGAGGAGGGCTATGCTTTGGAGGACCTTATTGTCGCCGCTCCTATTTATGCGCATAAATATAACTTCACGCGTAAGTAAATTTATTTTTTCATATTATGCTGTATTTTCTTGTCTAAAAAATGTTATTTAAAATTTCAAGTCTGCCATAAATAACTTTAAAAAAATAAAAAGGCAAATGTATTTTTGAGGTAATAGTAAAGGAACACACAATTTAAATCATGGTTTTAGAATTGATTCATTTTTATAGTTTTAACTAAAGTTCTTTTTTTTTATCTGGACTGCGGCAACGTTGCAAATTTAGGGTTTTTGTTGGTAAATACAGTTGTCAAGTTGGTCGCATTGATTAAAACAAACTAAGCTAGTTATAAATCTAATTGTGGTTATGTATAAATTATTGTAGGTTACATTGTGTAGTTGTCAAGTGAGTTGTCGAAATTCGTAGTTAAAAATGCAATTAATTTGGCTTTGGTGGTGCTTGGATGAGTAAAATCATATAAAAAAGTAGTTAAATATAGGTTGCTTTACGGCCCAGAAGTATTCCTAGCGGATAATAATCTTCGCTTTGAAAAGAATTTATGTATATAAAAGAAATTAAAATTTTTTGTGAACGTAAATGTTGTCCAATGGTGAATAATGTGAAAATAATGTGTAATGTAATATTTATAAAACCAAATTCGTTACTTTTTTACTCCAAAAATGTCCATAAGGCGATGTACTTTTTCTTCCATTGTGGCATTTGGCATAATTTCATCAAAATGAAGTTTTGCCCTCAAAAGGGCTTTTTCATTTGAATTCGTTGCTATTATTTTTGGCATAATTTTTATTTATAATTGACAAGTATATTATCAATAATAAATATTATTGTCAATTTGACAGTGTCAAAGTATTTAAATTCTTCTCTCTCATAAGCCACCAACCTAACAAAAAAACAGGAGTCCAGATAAAAAAAATGAACTGTAGGTATCAATATTTTATTTAGTACCTACTTAATTTTTGGGATATGTTTTTTACACAATTAAAAAAAAATCAATTTGAAATAAGTTGGTTCAATCAGGTTTTAATTCTCAACGTTTAAAAATTAAAACCTAATTGAACCAACTTATTTCAGTCACAAATTCGTCCGAATTCGGTGTCCACGGCTACGATTACACCATGAAAGACATGCACCCGTTCTTTATGGCTCGCGGTCCTAAAATAAAGAAACACCACAAAGTGGCTCCGTTCAACACGGTCGATTTATTCGACCTGTTCTGCGAAATTTTGGACATCACACCCACTCACAACAACGGCACATTGGCGAACATTCTGGATATTCTATCCAACAATAAGAATGGAAAATACAGTATCGCATCCATACTGGTCATAACTGGCAAGTCTTAGTACCTATTGTAGAGTTTTAATAATGCATGAAAATAAATGTTTTAACAGTAGTTATTTCTTTAATGATACATTTAGTAATTTTAACATAGTATAGTCAAAGACCGCAGCAGTGTTGGTCCAACGTTTTACGTTCGTTTTTCTTTCAGTAGGGGGAGTTGTTGTAACTATAATCCTAGTTAGCTTAGCGGCAATTGTCACCCTTATTTTGATTAAACGCCAGCAAAACATCACAACAGCTGCAGCATTGAACAAAAGGTTTCCACAAACCTTTCAAAGCAATATCGAGGCTCAGCACTTGTTGGAACCGGAAGATGCCTAAAAGGCAGCTATTTTTGTTTTTAATTTGTTTTATTTAACCATGATTTTAATTTCACTGGGTACACTGGCCCACAAAAAGTTTGCTTTTTAAAACAAAAAATAGTCAAACTCAGAACTCTTTGGTGTCTCAGAACTAGTAACTTTATTAGTGTTTATTTGTCCAGATTATGTTTAAAAAAATTGTTTTTTATTTATTGTACCATAATTGTTTATTATTTGAAACAATTTAAAAAAAATATAAGTATTTTTTTTCTTCAAAATAGAGAGAAAGATTTTTTAATTTAATTTAAATTGTTTTAAACTACTTTTTATAAAAACAACATGGACAATTTTTTAACTTGGGCCGGTGTTATTTATGACATGCATAAAAGGCAGCTATTTTTGTTTTTAATTTGTTTTATTTAATTTAATTAGGTACACTGGCCAAAAGTTTAAAACAAAAAATAATCAAATTCGGAGCTCTTTGGTATCTTAGTAATAGTAACTTTATTAGTATTTATTTGTCCAGATTATGTTTCAAAAAATTTTTTTTTATTTATTGTACCCTAATTTCTTTTAAAAATTTAAAAAAAGTTATTGGTCCCCTTTTTAAAATTGTTAAAATTGTACTCTTTTTACTATTTTTTTTCTTCAAAATAATTTTTTAAGATTTTTTTAATTTAATTTAAATTATTTTATAAAACTACATGGACAATTTTTAAACTTGGGCCAGTGTTATTTATGATACAGGGTGCACCAAGTATTCTTCTATGTGTGTACATATGGGTACTTTTTTAAATTTAAGAACTAGGTCGCTTATATGTATCAGAGAAAAGCTGCATAATTACCAGCCTATTAAGATGAAATTTAAAAATTATAAAAAAATAACGTTGCCCAAAATGTTTTAAAAAACTGTTATATGGGTAATTATACTTTTAGGCCCCATCTACCTCTAAAAAATAAATATTTCACATTTTTAGGCAAACTAATTCTAATGATACTCTTAGCAGTAGGTTTGCTTAAAGAGTCTTATTTTTAAGTTTTAATGTCTTAGCGATGGAAATGCAGTGTGACAAAAGAGACATGTGATGATGAAGACATTTTTCACAATAAAAAAATATATTTTCCAAGTGACACAATAAATGCACGTAAAACAAAATTAAAAAGAAATTGGTTTAGTTTACATGAAAAAGAAAATTAAATACTGCAACTTACCAAATAAATGCCGCGCTGCTTGTTTGGGACGCGCAAAATAACAAAAGCGATACCATTGCCACATACTTCCAAGTATGTGACCATTGCAGTGGTGCCATCTCGGGTTATAAACTACATGGGTTACAGAGTTTTTTGATATGTAATGCTAAATTCAAGTGTATTTTATAACAAAGCTGTTTTTATTTAGGCGGTTCGTGACGAAGTAGACATTAAAGGACAAGGTTTGATCATGCTTAAAATATTATTTACAGACATTTTATCGCATTATTTATTAGTACTGGAGGAGCTAATTATTTGTTATATCATTTTAGTTTTAGAATTCTGAAATATAAGTTTTCACTATTGCAATATAATGGAAACATGGGGTTAAAGAGTGTGATGCTAACTTTCAACCTTAATTAAGATATTAAATGTTTTTATATTTAATTGAACAATTTTAAATTAATTTTTATTATTTTAAGTTCTTATTTATAAATCTAGTTCTAAATTAGCAGTCTTAATTTAATATTTTTTTAATAAGAAATGTTAAGGACAACTGACAAATGGCAGAGAGCCTTGTTAGTATTATGACCCATATCTTCGTTATTCCTTTGAATTTTGATAAAAAGTAAGTTTTACCAATTTCTTTGCCACTATATTTTGAGTTACCATCACCATCTTTTGTTTTCATAATGAGTAGTAAGTTTGATACATTGTTAAATTGAGTTTTTTTCTATATAACCATGTAAAATTCCAACATGGCGGCCATAGAAAAAACAAAAGATGGTGGTGGTAACTCAAAATCTAGTAGGTAGGCGAATAAAATCAGAAATTGAATGTAAATGTAGATAAATGTGTATTTTTACATGTGAAACTTACTTTTTCAAAATTTTCAGGAATAACAAAATTGTAAAGATTTTTGGTTTTGACAGCGTTTCAGTTTTTTTTCAAATTATTTGAGAGTAGCAGATTTTTTTTCCTATTTCCAAATGCTATTTTTAATCACGCAACTTTTCTCTAATATAAGCACCTTGTATGTCAAATAAAATACAATGTATGTATGTCATTCATAGGATACGTGTTACACCCTAAAACTATCGTTTTCACATAATATGTTCCACACCCAAAAGTCCCACCACCTGACTTATACAAATTAATAAGGTTAATTTTTTGTCAGTTAAGCTAACTTTGTCCTATTTTCTGAAAATAATATAATATATTTTGTTATATTAAGATCTTTATATATAAAAAATAGATATATTGAATTATTTTCTGAAAATAGGACGAAATTAGTTTGACACTGACAGATAATTAACCTTAAATATGGTGGGACTTTTGGGTGTGGACCATATTATGTGAAAACGATAGTTTAACATATTCACTTAGTCATTAGCTTAAATTTTGTTAATTAAGTTTGTAGTTAATTTTTAGGATTTATTTTATTAACTTTACAAGAGAGGTAATTATTTATGGATAATCAGTGGTGCCTAAATATACAGTGGAAAAATCTTAAATCCACATAGGTCTCATAAAATATCCATTTAGATAAAAATACATAGTTTTTCGCAGAATGACAATTATAGATAGCTATTTAATAAACCATTGTGTATAAAAATGTTCAACACCATAGTAGCAAATAATTTAAACACAACCCTGCTAAACAAGTTAAAAAGACACTTATTTATGATGAAAATGTCTTTTTTAGTGCAAATAAAAAAAACAGTTTTATTGGGTTATAAAAAAGATGTCTGAAGCTTAAGTATCTTTTTAACTTAAATGGCAGAACTTTGAGTGCAATAATTTATAATATTGAATTGAATTAGGTTTATTCAATTTAAGTCACTTCTCGTCCTTTTATTGAAGAGAATTTAACCATTGTGATTGTATATTCGTCCAAATATACCTCTTACTATTGAATTGTATGCTCTATATTTATGAGTTTAATTTTTTACAACCCCTGACAATAAATTTTGTCTCATAATTTATAATATAACCAACCATGTTTATTCTAGTCAAAATTTTGTTAGCGAATATTTGTTTGTTTTACACATGTTTTTATAGCACTGATTTACAATATGTTTGCTCACTTTAGATAATAATTAAATGTTTTAAAAAGCACAATTTTGTTCGTATGTGCTCGGATTTTACCAAGAGCAGAAAAAAAACATGTTTAAAATTTTTAGTTAGGTAATTAATTAACTATAACTATAATAATTTTACCAGGTAAAATTACCTTTTGCAAAGAAAGTATTATTCAGGTAATTGTACAGGAGAAATGAAACAGTCGGTGATCATGTTTGCCAAATTGCTATAGAATATTCTTAGATTATATGCATGTTTTTGTTAATCAGTGAGCACAATTTTGGGTGATATTAAATAAATAGTGTTTTTTTTAATAACTGTTCCATTTTAAAATTCATTAAAAACCATAAAGAATCTTAAAATATTTTATTTATTTAACCCCATTCCTCAAAATTATCACTTGTAAATTGTCCAGGTTTAAACTTCTGCAGAGAGGGTGGCAAATCTAATCGAGTCTCCAAATTCGCTGGGTAATCCCAAAACGTATTTACAACTTCCACATTGCTTTTACTAAACGTTTCACTATATTTTTCATGCCAAGATTCCACAGATGGTATCGGGACCAACTCCTGCTCCTTTTTTCGTTTTTGTTCTTTATTATACTCAACTAATTGACTGATTTCATACAATTGATCAGGGGAATAATGAGAGTATTTGCAATTGCCTTCAAACTGACAAAAACCTTCCAATAAAAATCTACGACAGGGCATTTTTAACGATTCTTCTCTAAATATTGTTTCTGGATCTAAAATAAATTATTATTGTAAATAATTATTATTTAATAATATAAATAATTAAGGATAAAATCATAAGTTAGATATAACTTTTTAGACTGTCATATTAAGCAAAAAATAACTCTTAAGCACATAACATAAATGTAACGAAGGTTACACTTTTTTCAGTTTCTAAACCTGTAATTTCAATTATATTTACATTTTAGGACAAAGTACTAACATAAACAAACATAAATTACAAGAAACAAACCTCTTTGAGCTTCATAATGTAAATTCCTATTTTTAATATGCTGGGCACTTTGTAAGTGCTTTTTTCTTGCGTCCAAGTCGTCAATAAAGTTTTTATCACAATAATCACAGTAATATCTTCGCCCCATTGCAGTAATTTCAACAAAATAAAAATGTTTTGAAATTCACAAAAAGTGAGGTTGTGTTAAACGTCAAAAAGTTGCGCCATCTAGGTATTATCATATGAAACCGTAACTTTGCAGCTACAGATTTCTCGATAAATTTCCCAAAAACTTCTTCAGTTAACACGGAAAGAGACGGAATAAAGTTTGTCAGCGAGTCGAAAAGAAATGCAACACAAACAGGACGTCAGCACGCCACCGTCCGCTAAGTTTAATTTTTCTGTTTACATTTCTGCCAGTTTGGAATCGTGCGAGCTAAGTGTACGTTGTGTTTACATGTTTTGTAGTGATTTACGAATTTTTGGGTTTTATTTGTGAACATGTTTGTAGAGTGCTTTGTTTTTTATTAAGACTCCATTGTTTTTTAAGTGTGAAGTTTATTTTGATTAAGGTTAGTTTTGTTTTTTCTATAATTTTAATTATCTACATACATAGTTTTAATTTTTGTACTTATTGCAACGTTTTATAATCATAATTACCTATGATAGTTGAATTTTTCGTAATAATTTAACATTTGCACCTGTTATTTCCGTTTTTGTCGCCATTTATTTCAATTAATATAGGTACCTATATACGTAGATGTTTTGTTTTATATTTAATTTAATGCATTTTAAAAACAAACCCAAGTAACACCTCGTGAAGAAATCGTTGCAAAATTTGTTACGATTTCTACTTGTCGTGAGCTCAACGTGATCCCGAAAATTTATAGATTCTGTGACTGATACAGTGGCCAAACCGCACTAATTTTAACCCCCGAAATCTTCACGAAGGCGTGCCTACAAGTCGTGACAATTTCTTTATGTTTTTTTTATCACAATAATGTGACGAATTTGACACTAAATCCGTGGTAGAATCTGCTTTGCAGGGTTGTGACGAATGGGGTAGTTAAATTTTTTCTGACCTATACTTTTTATGGTTTTATTCAAGGCGTTTTGTAATTTTAAACATCTTTGTGAAATCGGAATTTCAATTAAGTTTACCGTTTTCGAGATATTTACAAAAAAAAGTCTCCTAATTACGTCACTAGGCTATTGACAACGTTGCCAGCTTTTTCTATGGTGTTTAGTTTAAGATTCTCACGATAGATGGCGCCACGTTATAATATTTTAGTTTTAAAACTACTTGATCTAAAATTTTAGTTGAGAAGAAGAAGAAGAATTGATTTTTTGACGTTTCTTTTTTTCGGGTTGTTTTTTTTAAATTTAGATTATTGAAAATCAATGTTATTGTTATGTTATTTGTAAGTAATTGATATTAGATAAGTGATTTATTAATAACGGACTCCAAAGCAGAGGAATCTTGTGGAATGGTTGGTTACATTGAACATTGGAGCTTTTAAACAAATAAAGTAAATACCTATAATTATAATCATATTTTGTCGTAAATGCATTTCATTAGTATAATGCCTAGTTCTTTATATTCTTTTAGATATATCTTGGACTCTAAAATATCAAACAGTAATATGATACCTCGTTATAAGTAAGATATGTACTTAATAGTCCAGTCATCTAGGCATTTCACCTCGGAATCTAACGGAATAAGCTGAATTTTTGTACAAACCTTTATTTTAGCATTGCAAATGTTGTCTTAAAAGTCACATATGCCAACGTGTGAGCGGCCTTAGATATTCAAGGTCAAAGGTCGCAAAAATCAATTTTTTGAGAATATCTCCTTTTCTCTGCCTCCTATCGTATTTGCATTTATTATACAAGTTGTAGAGAATAAAATTCTCTACAAATTTTGTTTAAAATATTTTTTTATACGTCTAATCGTTTTTGAGATAGAGGGCGCAGAGTGTGGAGCGCTCAGCCATACTTACCTTTAGCGCAAGGTAAATCATGAATCCCAATCTATTATACCGTTTTTTTAATTAATTATTTGTTAAATATTACTTAAATAACAATTTAATACCTTATATTTATTTTTATATATTTTTTTAAAACAAATAGTCATTAAATATTACTTACTTTTGATATACAAATAATTAAATAATGAAGTGAATCATTAAAAATATATTCTAATGTTATTCTAATTAATGATAAATGCATTTTAAGAAGAAAAGACATTAAATGAATTTGCCTTGAATATATCTCTGGTCATATCTTGGATCCAGATATTGCTTTTAAAATAACAGACCTGGAAATACTATAGTGGGCTTGCTATAAATAAAAAGGTAAGGTATACCTACATTTAAAGCAAGTTGTGACCCTAGGTATAGGTCTAGGGTTGTGACAGGTAATATTCGTAATATTTTAAAGGTTAACATGGCTGATTTGTGTTTTATTTGTAATAAGTTACTTTCTGAAGGTGATTCTGTGACTTTTGTGCGCGGTATAAAGACTTTAAAAGAAGCAATTATTGAGAAAAATAAACATAAACTACCTAAATACTTTGACTTCTGTGAACGTTCATATTGAGTGTCCAAAATTGTACGCTATAGCGTACTATAGTAAGATTGCAGCAGCAAAACGTCGCCTTGAAGAGACTGGACCTTCAACGTCATCAACTGTACCTCGTAAAAAAGGGAATGATGTGTTTAATTTTAAAATATTGTGCTTATTTTATGGTGAAGTCGCCAATGAGGCAACAAAGGCAAAAAAATCTGCAAAGTACAAACGCGTTATAAGTAAGTTTTTGAAGATATGACAATTAATGGCAATGATAACGAGGAGAGTGATGATGAGAATGAGTCTGAAATTGCTGGCCAACCTGAAGAAGACGAAGATAAAGATTAATAATAATAATAATAATAATAATATTGATATAAATAAAAACATTTTTTCCTACTCCGATCCAATTATCCTTCATTAAAATTAAATTAAAATATAAGATATATATGAAGATAAAATATATTTGATTTAAAAGAAATATAAATATAAGTACAAGGTATTAAATTTTTATTTTAGTAATATTTATTACCTAATTAATTAAAAAAACGGTATAATAGATTGGGATTCACGATTTACCTTGAGCTAAGTACGTATAGCCATATATATATAGTGTGGAGCGCTCAGCCATATATGGCTGAGCGCTCCACACTCTGCGCCCTCTATCTCAAAAACGGTTCGACGTATAAAAAAAATTTATAAACAAAATTTGTAGAGAATTTTATTCTCTACAACTTTTATAATAAATGCAAATACGATAGGAGGCAGAGAAAACGAAATATTCTCAAAAAACTGATTTTTGCGACCTTTGACCTTGAATATCTAAGGCCGCTCACACGTTGGCATATGTGACTTTTGAGACAACATTTGTAATGCTTAAATAAAGGTTTTCACAAAAATTCAGCTTATTCCGTTAGATTCCGAGGTTGATCCCTTTTTTTGACTAAGATGACTGTACTATAATGAATTTGGTGACCATCTTTCACTCAACTGACAGTGACAGTATTTGTACATAACCTCTTCGGGTATTTTCTGACATAACCGAATGAAATCATTAACAAGACAACTTGACAACAGGGTAATTTTCAACCAATAGAAATCTTAGAATGTTGGTCACATGGTGAGGTTTGTGACGTCATAAAAATGTATGTTTTTTGTAAATATCTCGAAAACGGTAAACTCAATTGAAATTCTGATTTCACAGAAATGTTTAATATTACAAAACCCCTTGAATAAAACCATAAAAAGTATAGGTCAGAAAAAATTTAACTACCCCATTAGTGACGAAGGCGTGCCTACAAGTCGTGACAATTTCTTTATGTTTTTTATCACAATAATGTGACGAATTTGACACTAAATCCGTGGTAGAATCTGCTTTGCAGGGTTGTGACGAATTATTGACGATTATTATTTACTGTAAATGCGTACTTATATTACATTTAATTATTGTCCATGGTCGCTCAATAATGAAAGCTAATTTTTTTTACAGAAATTTAGCTTTCATTATTGACCGACCATGGTCAATAATTAAATCTAATATAAGTACGCATTTACAGTAAATAATAATAACCAAATTACATAAATTAATTTCCTTTGCTAAATAAGTAAGGCACATTTATTAATTAATTATTAATTATTTATTAATAAAAAATGTACATTTAATTACATATGTAGATGTACTAAAGTTCAAAGACCCATTTTTGTGGGTATACAAAAATATTCTATGTATAGAATAATCACCACAGACACAAAAACTAAACTATACTAAAAAAAATATAACAAAATAAATATTTCTTTGGCTATTTATTGCCACATCACATAGGTATTTAAATTAAACAGAGAATTTTGATAAAATACAAATTAAAATATTTTCTTTAGAATAACCACCAGACACAAAAACTAAACTATACTAAAAAATTTATAACAAAATAAATACTTCTTTGGCTATTTATTGCCACATCACATAGGTATTTAAATTAAACAGAGAATTTTGATAAAATACAAATTAAAATATTTTCTTTAGAATAACTACCAGACACAAAAACTAAACTATACCTACTAAAAAATTTATAACAAAATAAATACTTCTTTGGCTATTTATTGCCACATCACATAGGTATTTAAATTAAACAGAGAATTTTGATAAAATACAAATTAAAATATTTTCTTTAGAATAACCACCAGACACAAAAACTAAACTATACTAAAAAATTTATAACAAAATAAATATTTCTTTGGCTATTTATTGCCACATCACATAGGTATTTAAATTAAACAGAGAATTTTGATAAAATACAAATTAAAATATTTTCTTTAGAATAACCACCAGACACAAAAACTAAACTATACTAAAAACTCACCTTATCTATAAACCAATGAACCAATGAATAAGAACAAATGATATCTATAAACCAATGAATAAGAACAAATGATAACAATAAAAACAACAAAAACGCAGCACGTTTTTGGGGCAGCGTCTCTACAAAACAACGACAATGAAAATGGCTGACCAGAGAATCTGACAGAGATAAAGAAGGTTATAGAACGCCCTCTCTCGAGAGATCTCGTTCCTAAAAACACGAAAACGTCACGAATAAAGTGCACTGCAAACGTCACAAATTTTCTATGAAGTATCT